TGGCTTTCCTTGGCGAGGCAAAGAGGGGAAGTGGTGACCGTCCAGCGTCCTGCCTGTTCACAGTGTGGGCAGGGCACGCAGCAGGAAAGAAGTGCAGTTCTTTTGCCCAACGAATGGTGTTTGTTGCAGAATACCTTTACACTGTGTGAAGATGTGTCACTGTGATCGGGCTTAATAAAGAGCTGGGCGGCCAATAGACAGGCAGGAAGAGGTTAGGCGGGGCTTCTGGGGACAGAAGTCTCAGGGAAGAAGAGAGGTGAACTCTCCAGCAGGACGTGCAGGAGGAGAGGTGAGAGCCATGTGACAGCACGCAGATGAACAGAAATGGGTTAATTTAAGTTGTAAGAGCTAGCTAGAAACAAGACTAAGCAGAGGCCGAGCTTTCGTAAGTCTCTGTGCCATGATTTGAGATACTGGTGGGACAGGAAAGCCTGATACAGGCACTGCCACAGTTGAGGCTCCATGTGGAGTGGGTTGGTGCCCCATCTTTCTTGAGGCGGGCCTCAGGGTTGCTATCAGAAAGAAGCCCATCCCATCCTTTCGTGCTCTTAGACACCTTAAATGCCACCGTCAGCAGATCTCTCTGAGGGATCTGAGGGCCGTCAGTCATCTAGACTCTTAAGTTTTCTTCTAAGAGCAGGGCTGACTGGGAAAAGTAAAAGAGAGTGGAAGACAAGCGTGCCCTCTTGAGCGTTAGGGCCCAGCTTGCTGAACTGAAGGAGAGCCTCTGTGAGTTGGGCTCAGCAGGATTTTATCCATCAGGCCTCTGGGTGATCCCCTAAGTTTGTCAAACTTTACCACCTTATAAGCAGCCTGTTGCAGGCTGGCAATGAGGCAAAAAACCTTCTATCCTGGGTCTCCCTACGAGTTGACGGATGCTCACCACTAACCTGATAATCCCAGCGGGGTCCACCTGGGAACTGTTGCAGTGGCCACCAGACACGTATGACCCATTCTGCAGATATCATCTGCGTGGGCCCTGTCTCAGTCTGGGTTCTTATTGCTGTGAAAAGGCATCATGACCGCGGCAACTCTTACAAAGAGAACATTTAATTGAGATGGTGGCTTGCGGTTTCAGAGGTCTAGTCCATTATCATCATGATGGGGATCATGATTCTGTGCAGGCAGACAGGCTGACAGAGCTGAGAGTGCCACGTCTCACAGGCAACAGGAAGAGACAGTCACGGTGGGCAGTAGCCTGAGTGCAGCCCCCACAGTGGCACACTATCTCCAACAAAGCCACACCCACACCAACAAAGCCACGCCTCCTAATAGTGCCACTCCCTTTGGAGTCCATTTTTCTTTCAAACCACCACAGGCCCAGACAGCCATCCAGACCCTTTCCTTTTCCTCAGGGATGAGAGTAGAGGAAAGAATAACATAGAGGTCATGGGCGGTGAGCAACGGTAGATTTGGGTGAGGAACCTGAATTCTCTGCTGAGGTTAGAAGGGTCATTAGGGAAAGAACCAAACTGCTCTTCTCCCTGGGAGAGATTAACCATAGAAAAAGGAGCATGGAGTATGCTGCCAGGGCCCGCCATTTCCCTGAGGGGATAGAGAGTAGGTAAGGCTGGCCGGAGGTGATGAAGAGAGCAAGGATGAGGTTGAGTCAGAGTAAGAATGTGGAGCAGGCTGGAAGGGCACCAGTGAGTGACGTCCACATAGGGTCAAGCTGAGGTGATGCCCACAGGGAATGACCTCTATCGAAGTTGAAAGGAGAGGGAGGTGAGGTCCTGGTAAACTTTGGGAGGAGGTCTGGCCTTTGCCAGGAGAATTTGGTGGCTGTAACAGGAGACCCATGGAGAGGGACAAGAGCAGAGAGCAAAGAAGGCTTGGACACAGAGAGTTCTGAGCGGCTTGCTGAAGCATCGGCAGAATTTGTCCAGAGCAGCGAGAGTTTGAAAGTCTAATGTTCCATTTTGGGGCCATTGAGACTGATTGTCAAGCTTGTGTTGAGGCCAAGCTATACTTAAGTAAGAGAACAAGGTGGCCAGGTTAATGGTATCCGAGGAGGGAAGGAGATCTGGGAAGGCAGGACGGGAGTTTAATTTTGGATGGGAGGAGCCCATGGTCAGTTAGAGGGAGGAAGGGTGGCAGTCAAGAGTTCCCAGGAGCAGAGCAAAGAGGATGTGGGAGGAACTTGGGAAACGGTTTTCCTTTCCACGCACAGGTATCAAGGGCCGTAAACAGTAGTCTAGCTGAAGGAGGACCCCAGCAACAACGAAACGGAAACACAGCGAGGGTGACATGATCTCGGCGCCATAGGATGGCGTCTCAATCCAAGGGTGTTTCCGGGGACCGAGACTTGTCATAGAGTTGCCTAGGATCGCAGGGGACGGGTACAGCTGGTAGGGTGCCCAGAAGTGCAGGGGGAGGCTGCCTGGGATACTGGCACAACTTTAGACAACCAAAATAAATGTAAGAAGGGGAATAAAGGCTAAAACTACGAAAGTTTTAATAAAGTAAAATAAATTTAAAACTAAGTGAAACGGTCACTAGTGAAAAGAAAAAGCACTATGTTGTATAAGGCTATATGCGCACAAAGTGTGTTTACTAAGAAGACTTTTTTTTTTTAACAAGGAGGAGGCAGAATAAAGCACTCGAGTGGCTTCCTCCTGGGTCCTCTAAAATTGGAATCTGCCCAGTAGAGGTGGGGATGGGGAGAGGCAGGTGTGGAACCAGGATCCCGACAAATGTTCACCACAGCTGTTTTCACTTTAGCAGGCTCCCTTCTTTGTGGATTAGCGGCCTCTGCTGGCCACACGTAGTTTTGCAGCCCCTGAGCTGGGCAGGCTCTCTCACACTTTGGAAGTTCCTGTCTCCCCGCTTCCCTCCAGGGTGGCTAAGAGGCTTGACCAGGGGATGTCTTCCAAGTGGGGTGCTCTGCTATTTGGTGAAGCAAACACAGCTGAGATCTGAATGGGAGAATCAGGACCTTCAGGACAGCGTTAAATTTGCCTCTGGGCGGATAAAGCTATAGATGATCATGCAGTCCGCCTGAGTATCAGAGTGCTTGTTCCCCAGGCTGAAAACCTCACAGTAGATCTGGCTTTAGAGGCTGGCCCGCTCCAGATAGCTCATAGTTATCTCACTGTCTTAGTTACTACGCTATTGTTGTGTTCCATTATTATTCTCTTATGACCAAGGCCACTCTTACTGGGGGCTCGCTTACAGTTCTATAGGGTTAGTCCATGATCCCCAACTCCAGGAAGCAAACAGGCATAGTGCTTGTTAGGAATACAGCAGCGCGGGCTGGGACCCTGGTCCTGGGCAGCAGGTGACGGACGGCGGGCTGATGGGGAAACCGAGACCTGCAGATGTGACTCGTGTTGAAAGTTTTATTAAGGGGGAGGTAAGAAAATAAGGGAAGGAGCAAGAAAAGAGGTAAAGAGATAAAGAGACACGGAGACAGGGACAGACACACAGACAGACAGACAGAGGGCAGAAAAGAAAAGGTAAGAGAGGGGGGGGAAGCGAGGAGAGAGGAAGCGGGTGGAGATTTTTCTTTTAAAGGGTCCTTTGCACCTGTGCAGATTACATAGTGAAGTAGCAGCCATGGAGCCCGGGGCTGACCAAAGTACTGCCTGAGTGCATTCTGCCAGGCGACAGGGGGCAGGCCAGCATAATGCCTGAATCCTTACAGTGCTGAAGCAGTAGCTGGGAGTCTGGTCTGCAGGGAGCAGATAGAGCGAGCAAGACACTGGGCTTGGCTTGGACTTTAGAAACCTCAAAGCCCACCACTAGTGACAAACCTCCTCCACTGAGGCCACACCTCCTAACCCCCCTAACCCTTCAGCAACTGGGGGTTAAACATGCAGACACAGGAGCCTGTGGGGGCCGTTCTCATTCAAAATACCACACCCACTCTGCAGTTACAGTCGGGAGAGGGGCTCCGTTGAGTCACTTGAGGGTGTATTCACAGCACCCTTCATGCCAAAGACAAACCTCCTGCCACCTGAACTTTCCAGCCTCTCAATGACTGACCCTCTCCCTCTCCACGTGGCTTCAAGAGTTTTTGTTGTTGTTGTTGGTGGTGGTGGTGGTAGTGTGTGTGTATGTGTGTGTGCGTGCGTGCGTGTGTGTGTGTGTGTGTGTGTGTACCAGGGAGTGTGTTGATCACAAGCTTCCTAACTTGTGATTCTTCCTTTTCATCAGGCCTACATGTAGGCAAGTTCGATCTTAAACGATAAGTTACGTCTTAGAGACGATGGCCATCCACAACCCTCCAAGTCTTGGAAAACAGTAAAACAGATCTGTTATTCACTGCCGATCCCTCCCTCAGGAGCAGTCAGTATCTCCCAACTGGTGTTTGAAGCTTTCGAGGCCTCTAAGCTTGTGCTGTGGACAGGGTTACCAGGTGCCTTTCTCCGTGGCCCTCTGTGCCGTGGACAGGGTTACCAGGTGCCTTTCTCCGTGGTCATCTGGCCGTGGACAGGGTTACCAGGTGCCTTTCTCCGTGGTCATCTGGCTCACCTTTAGGGCCAGGTTTCTGCTTCCAATCCCCCCTTCCTCTGGCAGGGTCTCCTTATGTTGACCAGGTTGACCTTGACTTCCTGTGTCAGTCTCTTAAGTACTAGGTGTACAGGTATATGCCACCAAGCCAGACTTGCAGGGTTTTTTTTTTTTTTTTTGCTTGATTGGGATTGGTTTGTTTGTTTTGAGACAAGGTATCACATACCCAGTTGGTCTCAACAGTAGCTGAGGCTGTCCTTGAACTCCTGACTCTCCTGCTTCTACCTCCTAAGTGCTGGGATGACAGGTGGGCACCATCATACCTGGTACTGACTTCCAGCTTTTATTTTATTTTTTTTTTTGATTTTTCGAGACAGGGTTTCTCTGTGGCTTTGGAGGCTGTCCTGGAACTCACTTTGTAGACCAGGCTGGCCTGGAACTCACAGAGATCCGCCTGCCTCTGCCTCCCAAGTGCTGGGATTAAAGGCGTGCGCCACCAACGCCCGGCTGACTTCCAGCTTTTAAAATGAATCTACGACCCAGAAACATTTGTCTAAACACTTTAATTAAAATTCACTGTACTATGAAAGCTGGTGTGTACAGAAAGCATTCTTGTTGACCGAGACAACAGCTTAGACTATTTCCGGTGGCTGAGCATATTTTGATAATGAAACTTTCAACAGCGACTTGGTTTTAATTCTATTTAAAATATTTGTGTAGTTTTAAAAAAAGATGGCGTTCGATTCGTTGTATTCCAAATGCAAGACAGACTGAGAGGATTGAAAGAGGAGAGATTCAACAGTCACACATACATGTTCTGTTCTGACTCAGGGTTACAGTGATCTCTGAGCTGTGTCGTTTAATTTGGAGATTAGTGCCTGTCTCCAACTCAGTTTACCTAATATCTGGATTCTGTGAGAGTGTTACCCTGAGTGAGATAGCTCAGTGAAATAGACACTGCTGTTTTCATTTCAAAATTAATTTTCTTTCCAGGAATCCCAAGAACCTCTCGCTTTATATAATAAACAGTCTATTCTCAGAGACTAGCTCTAAAAGAGTAGGTGCATCCACAGAGAAGATTCCTTATGAAGCAGGACCTCACAGTGGCCGGGTCAGGAACATTCTTAGGTCTACTGCAGGGTGCCATATTAACCTTATAGAAATATCTGAAGTACCTGCCACAGGCGGAAGCATTCTCTATACCCTGGGCTTTAGATTCTAGGGTGCAGATATGAGAATATACATGAGGACACTAGGATTAACTATGACTAGACTCCCAGCTCGCCCCGCTTTAAAAAATAAGGTGTACCAGTGAGATTAGATCTGTGTGGGGTTCGTTCTTTTGGTATTGAGGATCAAGCTCAGGGCCTCAACTGGCCAGGAAAGTAATCTATATAAGGCAAATCCTTTTCTGTATCAATTTTATTATTGTGAGCTATTGAGTGTATGCATGCGTGCATGCGAGAGAGAGAGAGAGAGAGAGAGAGAGAGAGAGAGAGAGAGAGAGAGAGAGAGAGAGAGAGAGAGAGAGAGTGCATGGGTGGTGGAGGTCAGAAGACAACGTTTTAGGGCTGATTCCTTTCACACAAATTTCAGAGATTCGGGTCAACCTTGCATGGTGGTGTGTCAAGGGCCTTTTATCCACTGAGTTCTCTCAATGTCCTGAGATTTTTGTCTTGTTTTTGTTTTTATTTTCCAGACAGGGTTTCTCTGTATTGTTTTGGAGGCTGTCCTGGAACTCGCTCTGTAGACCAGGCTGGCCTCACAGAGATCCTCCTGCCTCTGCCTCCAGAGTGCTGGGATTAAATGCGTGTGCCAACGCCCGGCAGGATGTTATTCTTACTAGTGTGAGACTGGAAACAACCCAAATGCTCACTGATGACGTGGCTAGAATGTCACCACACATCTGAACAAGGGACTAGGCTGACATCACCAATGAACCCGTGCATTTTCCTCCTCTCCCTTTTTGAGATAGGGTACGGTCATGTAGCCCCAGCTGACTTCAAACGAGTGATCCTCCTGCCTCAGCCCCTAGTGCCCCACCATGCCCAGCTACAAGCACACCCTCTACGTACTGACAGAGAACCACTAGTGTTTGTTTTTGTTTGCTTTTTTCCACACTTGTTATTTGATGCTTGAGAGTGGTCGGGGTGGGGTTGGGGAGCCAGGAGTAGCATGGAGAACTTTTAATGTCATTGCCTACTAAAGTAAGCAAACTTTAAAGGGGTAAGATAACAACGCCACTCATCATTAACTGCAGTGTACTGGGTGCCCAGTCACAGGCTCTGCTGCTACTGTGTTTACTGTTCTGGCATCTAGAGATGTTTACAGGAAGTTTTGCTCTTGGTTTGTTTGGAGGCAGATTCTCACTATGCAGCTCTGGCTGACCTTGACAAGGTTCCTCCTGCCTCAGCTTCCCCAGCACTGGGTTTGAAGGCGGGCACTCAGGCATCCCACCCCGGCTCTTCCCTGTCGCTTAAGCCAAGGGTGGGTTCTGGTGGGGGCCCTGCCATATCACCAACCCTCGATTTTTCTAGTAGAGCTCTCCGTGATGTCGGAGCCCTCTTCTATTCCCTCCCAAAAACTTTTAGAAGTGCAAGGTGGTTTTCTTCTTGAAAATAGCAACTGTGGGAGGGGGCGGGGAGCTCAAGAACACCACCACCATTTGATAAAATTTGAGGGTTTTCACAGCAAGCCTGTGAGGAGGTGTTCTTGGACTAGGAAGCTTATCCAGGTAGGCGGCTCTACCGCCCGCCCGGGGCCGACCCGGGAATGGGGACCATGGATTATGGGAATCATGGGGTGGGGCCTGCGTGAGCCTCACTCAGCTTCTTCCTTCTTCTCCTCCAACATCTCCACGGACATTGTCTGTTCCTCCGGATCGGGGCCTGGGCTCACACGGATCCTCACCGAGGGCTCCGTGGGCCCAGCCACAGCCTCCGCAGCCTCCTCTGTGACTTCCTCGGGCTTCCCCGGGGCCGGCGGTGAAGAGCATGGGGCAGGGAGCTCCGGGGGCTCCTGGGACTCCGGAGGCTCTGGGGGCTTCTTGGGTTCCGGTAGTTCCTGGGGCGCAGGTTGGTCTGCGGCTCCAGAGGCCTCCTCTCCCCCAGCTTCCTGCGAGCTCTTGGCCTGAAACCCAGAGAGCAAGAGCGTGACAGGTGAGGTGAAGCATTCTCCTCCGAAGGGATCTTACACGCCAACTTGCCCCCACCTTCTGGGACTTCCCGAAGACAGTGGCAGTGAAAGCTAGCGGCCTAGCATAGCAGTATCAGGGTAGTGTAGGAGAAACAATATAGTATTGGCAGGCTGAAATTTGAGGATGCCAGGCCAGCATGTTTTGGGTGTAAAGCTTGGGGATTTATTTAATTTTGAGGCAATGTCTGTAGGGAAAAGGGACCAGTCAAAGAAACACACCCTGAGCAGAGCCAAAGAAACACACTTTGGCCCTGCAACCAGAACTAAAGAAATGTACCCTGACCCTGAAACCAGTGCCAAAAGAACACTTTATCCCTGGAATCAGAGTCAGTGAAAGAAATGCACCCTGGCCCTAAAATTGGAGCCAAAAGGCTAAAAAGGACCAGAGAAAGAAGCATACTTTGGCCCTGAAACCAGAGTCAAATCTGACCCTAATCCTGTGTAGAAAACTAACCAATCCCTGAGCAGAGCTCTAGCCAATGTGAGCTCAGCACTAAAATTTGACCAATCCCCAAACTGGAAGCCCTATATAAACCCTGTGTCTGTTCAGCTTGTCTCTGTGCTACCTGGCTGTCCTCTGTCACTGTGGCAGAGGGCAGCCACTCCCCTGGATTCTTCCCTCCCAATAAACCCCTTGAATGAGCTTTGGGTGAAGATCTTTTGTAATCATGGCGGAGCAGAGGCGACCATGGGCAGAGCAGAGCAAGCAGGGCTGTAACACTTTTGCCAAGGAAACCTTCCCTTGCCAGAGCGGAGCAACTCCTCTCTGCTCTCCAGGAGCAGAGCTGAACTGTAGCAACTTCGCCTGAGAAACCTCCTGCCAAGCAAAACTGCTACACTGGGCAAACATCCCCAGCTGGAAGACCCTGTCCTGCCGGAGCGGAGCCAAGACACTGGGGAAGCCTTTCCCTGACTGAGCCAAGACACTGGGGAAGCCTTTCCCTGAGGCAAGGCTGTATGCTGCTAAGCTTACTACAACCTGTGGTAGTCCTTGGCTCCCAAGTTCCAGGAAACCTTTCCATCTGAGCTGTGTAACACTCAGTATTCTGTGACTCCCGAGTACCAGAATACCTGTCCAAACTGATCCGCCCAAAATGCCTACAGTGTCTCCATATGTAGCCCAGGCTGGCCTTAAATATGATGTGGAACGCAAGTTGGCCTCGAACTCAGTCAGGGTCCTTCTTCCTGAGCCTGTAAATTGGATGCTGAGACTGCAGGTGTGAGCTTCTTTAGGGAAGCCTGTGTTAAGTTTTGCATTCAAGTACAGATCCATCCCCCCAACTTATCTGGGGAGCTGATAACCACGGAGACTGGCCTCTTCAAAAGTTGAACCATCCTGACACCCACTCTTCTTCCTCTTCTGGTTTTTCAAGACAGGGTTTGTCTGTGTGGCCCTGCCACCCTGGATCTCACTCTGCAGACTCTGGCCTCCAGCTCAGAGATCTCCCAGCCTCTGCCTCCTGAGTGCTGGGATTAAAGGTGTGTGCCACCACTACCCGGCTACACAGCCACACTTCTTATTAGTAATGGATGGTTCTGGGGTGAGTGGGAAAAACTTGGAGCACATAGGTAAAGCTGAGTGGGCAGGAGTACCTGTGGCCTGGCCATCTTTCTAGAAGGTTCCAAAGGCTGCAGCCCTTACAGGAAGAATGGAATGGGATAACAGAAACATTAGGATGAAGTGACCCTGTGTCCATGCTCTTGGTGGGCAGCTGCAGCCCCTAACCTGTGCTTCCTCCATGGGTTTTGGGGGGCATCAATAAGTAATTGGGGGAGCCTTTTATAAACCCCTGGGTCCTCACCTGCTTGCTCTTTCACCCTAGTTCTGCAAAGAAGGCAATGGGAGAAGGAACAATCCAAGAAGATCCTCAGCTGCCCAAGACCCACGGGAGAGCAGTCCGTGTGATTGTGTGGGAGCAGAGACCCCGGAAGTTTACAAAGCCACAGGTGTTAAAGAAAGAGGGCATCGGGATGCTTCTAGAATCCAGAGCAGCTCCGAGACATGCTTTCTTCTTCCATGCCTCTGCATGTCTTCCCACATTTGCTCTACCCGACCCGTGCACCCCAAATTCTCAAGACACCCCGCCCTGGGCAGGGTGTTCTGAAGTCAAGAGATGCAAACAGGAATGGGAGGATCATGGGAAGGCTGATGACGTGGTCTGCCATGTTCAAATGCTTTGAAAACGGAAACCACCGCTTCAGCTCTGCAGTCCCATGTGGCTACCACGAGCCCTCTATGTCTCTGGGAGTGCAGGGCTCCTTTCTGGTGTGGCAGGGCCTCTGACCTCGTTTAGTAAAGAGCTCCTTCACTGCCTTCTGCCCTGGCTTTCGAGATCTCACAGAAACTTTCTACTAGGACACTTACGCTACAGGAGCGGACACTGTCTTAGCTGAAGCCTTTCGCTGCTCTGAGAGAGTCTTTGGGTTCACCTCAACCCCGAAACAGCAGCCTGCACAAAACATCCCAACATGCAAACTCGACCTTGACCATCACAATAATCGCATTTCCTCTCTGTCTGGGGCCATGGATGGGCAATGTCCTGGAATCCCACGTGGCTTTGATGTCCCTTGCCCAACTTCTGCTGACGAATAACCCTGAATATGTACCCTGACTCACACCACCGGACTGAGACTGCGTTCATTGGGTTTCTCTGAGGACCACACAGACTACTGTCCACTCCCAGACCGTTCTGAGCAGGTGAAATTAATACCATCATTCTAATAGCTCTTCTTGGCTTCAGTTACAGAAAAAAGGGCCCAGGAACTAACTTCAACATCCCTTTAGAGTCACAGGAGGGGAGGCCATTGCCACTCTGCATAGCTATGGGATTTTCTTCCTTCCAATCATTTACATGGTTGCAGACACTGGAACATCACGGTCAACGTTCCCAGCCTATACCCCCTTCCTCCCACCGGCACCAACGCCTTCCCCAAAGAACTGGCTCCCGACTTGCAGTCCAGGAGTGGGTGGGCAGCTATGGGACACACACCCCCCTGGCCCCACTGACAACGGCTCAGGAACTGGCGTGTGGCCCAGCACAGACTCATGACAATGAGTCCTGGCGACTTTGACTTTAGGGGGGTGGGGGATGACAGGATGTGGAGCCATCAGATGAGAGAGATGGCAGATGACAAGACTAGTCCTGCAACTTGAGGTCCAGCTACGCTTCAGTTGACAACTACTAAACCCATCTTCCTAGTCTGTCAACGTAATGTCTTACTTAGAGGCTGTTTGAGACAAAGTCTCATCATGTGGTTCAGGCTGCCGTAAAACTAGTAGCCCGGGCTGGCCTAGAATTCCGTAGCAATCCTGTATCTGCTTCTCACCCATGTGACCTACGCCTACGATCGAGGTTTCTCAATCTGGCTTGAACCTGCTTCTGTCACTTGCACCAAACAAGGCCTGTAAAGGAGACAGAAAGTCCCAACACTGGATGTGTGACCGGCCCTTGGAGGTCCCCGACCTTCTTCCTGAACAAACCTGCCAAGGGCACCACAGAGCCAGGTCCCAACCATGTTACCTGTTCCAGCAGCTGCTGCTGCCGCGCTGCCGCCTCCAGGGCAGCCAGCTCCTTGAGCCTGGCTCTCAGGTGGGCGAGCTTGCCACCCTTGCCCCCCCTGGCGCCCATCTTTCCTGCTGCGGCGAGGGCGGCATTGAAGAGCTTCGGGGTGCCGGCACGTGGGGGCAGGATGAGCACGCTCTTCTCCTCCTTGGGTTTGTTGTTGTTTCTCAGCATGCGCCTGAAAGAGAGCCACACCCACTTCTATCCAAGGTGCAGTGGGGAGAAGCCCCCATCTGCGCCTGCGTAGAACCCTCCTGAGTTGGTGCTGCCTTTGGCTGATGACGTTAGGGTGCTTGTGCTGGGTCCAGCACATGGCTGAGTGCTTCTGCATAGATGGACGATTAGAACTTATTGTCTGCGCCATAAGGATAAGAACACTGAGGCTCAGAGAGGTTGATAACTTGCTTGAGGTCACACTGGACAGACTGAAGGACACAGCTACAGTTTAGAGGTGATTTGAGGGCATCTCCTGTGGTTCACAGGCTTATGGTGATATTGGGGGAGGAGGGCCTGTTGAGAAGTCTTTTTTTTTTTTTTTTTTTTTTTTTTTTTTTGGTTTTACGAGACAGGGTTTCTCTGTATTGTTTTGGAGGCTGTCGGTCCAGCCCGGCCTCGAACTCACAGAGATCCGCCTGCCTCTGCCTCCCAAGTGCTGGGATTAAAGGCGTGCGCCACCACCACCCGGCCTGTTGAGAAGTCTTTATCTATTTCCTGAGACTCTGGCTAGTTCTCACGAAGGGGGTTGTTATAAAAGTAATGATTTATCTGGAAAAGTGTGGGATTGTTGTGTCCCTGAAAATTGAGGAAACCGAGGCTCGGAACGGGCAGGGAGTGACATGCTCCAGGTTGCCAGGAAGCGGTAGTGGCAGAACCAGACTCGGAGTCGGGTGTGACCCAGCACCCTGTTTCTTTGAATAAGGATATAATTTCCCATCAAACATAGCCTGTGCCTTTTACTAGGAATTTTTCAAGCTATAAATATGTGATAAACAGCTTGACTCAAGAACAAATGCATTTTGCATGCAATCTAGTGGGTGAGACTGCTAATTGGCAAATTCATTCATTAGGGTTCCAGTGCAATGTGTTTGTTTTTTGGTTTTGGTTTTGTTTTTAATGAGGCTGCTGCCAGCTGCTTAGTTAATCAGAGCCAATGGTCCCGAATTGTGATATTAATCGGCTGAGATTTGCATTTCTCCTGGGTTTCCCCGGAGACAGAAGCACGATCATCCATCAGAGGCCTTGGAAGCAGGCTCGACGGCAACCTGGGCACGGCCACCTGTGTCGTGTGAGTCCATAATTCACGCATGACAGGCAGCAAGAAGGCTTATTTTGGTGCTGAAGTGACAAAGAGCAGTGGCGGGGACAGCTGCTGGCTGCTGGCAGCTGCTCAGCTTTGAGTCAGTGCAGAAAGACAGATGTGTCCACATGGGATTCTCTGTGCTCGGAAAGGGCATGAGGCAGAAGAACAGGGACTAGAGACAAATACACATGAAAAACAAAGCAAAACAAACAAACAAAAAACAGATGTCACTGAGAGTGTTACTTTGAAGAGGACTGGAGTTCCAGTCTATGCCTCTGTCTGTCTCTGTCTCCATCTCTCTCTCTCTCTCTCTCTCTCTCTCTCTCTCTCTCTCTCTCTCTGTCTGTCTCTCTCTGTGTGGTGTGTGTGTGTGTCTGTCTCTCTCTGTGTCTCTGTCTCTGTCTCTGTCTCTGTCTCTGTCTCTCTCTCTCTCTCTCTTTCTCTCTCTCTCTCTCTCTGTCTCTCTTTCTCCCAGCACAAGGTCCTTCCTCATTACAAGTTCAAAGCACTCTTGTCAGGCAAACATGGACTGAAACCTTTGAAACCAAGAGCCAAAACAAGTTTTTCCTCCTTTTGAGTTGATCTTCTCAGTGACAGAGTGACACAATGCTTGACACCAGCTAGAGTGCACACTAGGCAACCGAGTCTACAGCCACCCTGTGCAAGTCTGCTGTTAGAATCTGGGCCACACTGCTGCTCTGACCACGCCTACCTGCAGCAGCCCCTTTCTGATGGAAAGGAAACAGCAAACCCTTTACCAAGAGCTTGTCTGTGACTCTCTAACTCCCTAACCCACTCTCTGGGTGCCTGTGGGCTTCCATAGCATAGAGGGCTTCCTTAATCACTCAACTTGAAACCTCATCTGAAGAACTAGAAAACAAAAGTCTGCCTTCCGCTTTCCTAGAAGTAAAATAACCCATTTCCCAATACAAAACACAAGCACACACGCACACCTGCATTACTATTCACACTCGCAAAACATTGGCGCTGCCCCACGTGCTGACTCTAGGGGAAGGAAGGTGCTCTGTGACTGCAGGTGACGCTACAACATGCTACCCTTCGCATAAAGAGAAATAAGAAAACAGCCATGGGCCTGCCTGCTTTTGAAAAAGTAAAAACACAGCAGATAAAATGGGAACCAATGAGGTTAGCCAGACCAGACAGCATGGGCCTGGGAGCCCTGCTACCTAGAAGGCTGAGGCCGGCAGATGAAGAAGGCAGCGCTCACTTGGACTACAGAACAACAGGAATAACAGTCTGGCCAATCCAGCAAGATCCTGCCCCAATACCAAATCAAATATAATAACCTTAAAGGCTGGAGGTTAAGCTCAGTGGTAGAGCACCTGTCCAGTATGCACAAGAACCTGGGTACTAAAGAAAGAAAGAAAAAAATATCCCCAAACAAATCTAACACGTTTAGCCATTTATAGGGGCTAAGAACTTGTACACTTTCCTGAGCGCACAGCTTTGTGCTTTGGGAGTCCTGTCAATATTTTATGTTCTCAAAGCAATAGTTCTGCCAGTCACGGCAGCGAGTACCTGTGATCGTGGCACTCAGGGAGCTGAAGCAGGAAGTTCGGAAGTTCAAGGCTAGCTAGGGCTAGCTAGGCATGGCGGCAGAGGCGCATGCCTCTAGTTCCAGCACTGGAGAGGCAGGTGAGTCTCTCTGCATTCCAAGGCCTTTGTCGCTGAGCCACTCTCCAGCCCTTGACCCAAATAACTTCAAACACAATACTTTTACCATAGATACTTGAGCCAAAAGCAAAAATAACTTTGTCGGACACTGAACTCTGTCTGGAAGGCTTGTTTTTGGTGGATGGGTGGGTTAAACGTGATGAAACATTATATCACGGGACTGCACAGTTGAATAAATACAACACAGATAAAGGCAGCTAGAAGTCTCTGTGTCAGGAAGGAGGGGGTAAGAAGCATAGAAAGACTAGAAGGAACTGAAGGGATGATCTGAAAGTGTTTTATAGCCGGGCAGTGGTGGCGCACGCCTTTAATCCCAGCACTCGGGAGGCAGAGGCAGGTGGATCTCTGTGAGTTCGAGGCCGGGCTGGACCGACAGCCTCCAAAACAATACAGAGAAACCCTGTCTCGTAAAACCCAAAAAAAAAAAAAAAAAGAAAGAAGGTGTTTTATAGATCTCCCAATTCATCACTATCCGTAGAAAATTCAATGTAAACATGTATGTGCATACATATGTGGAGATATTTATACTGATGTACACAGGCGTGGGGGTCCCTTAGCTCCATTCACCAGGAAGCCTAGTAGCACCCCATAGCAATGAGTATACCCTTCAGGTTCAGATCTTCTTTCTATTTTGTTTTTCCTTCATTATTTTGAGAAAGAGTTTCACAATATAGCTGTGGCTGGCATGGAATTTGAAGCACAGATCTGATTGGTCTTGAACTTGCAGCAGTCCTCCTGCCTCTGCCTCTGGGATTATAGGCATGAGACACACACTAGATCTTGGTTTCTAAAAAACATTGGTAAGCTGCAGCTAGATATCTCTGGTAAAGCACACATGTCTGGCATGAATAAAGCCCTGGGCTCCATCCCCAACTCCTGTGCCCCCAAATCTCCAAATATTTTCCACTAGAAGGAATTTAGCTCCTTGGAGAAGCTGCCATTTCCAGGGGTGGGGGAGTGGGGCAGTTGGTGTCGGAGCCCAAGGTTGGCCAGGCTGTCTTGCTGCACCTGTTTGATCCCCACAGACACAAGGGAATGTTGAATTATAATGGGACATCAAAGGGTGACAAGAATCAGCTTGACGAGTTCCCACTGGCCACACCAGAGCAACTGAAGCTTCTGAATAACTGTAAGAGGAGTTTCTAAAACAAAGCAAAGCCTACTCATGTACTAAACAAACACCAGGAGATGAGGGGAGGCTTTTCCACAGCAGAGTGGGAGCCAAGGAGTGGGAGGCAGGGGGAGGTTGGACAGGGATGGCTCAGAGAGACCACTGAGGAGTGAGGAGCAAGGAGCCATGGGTAGATCAGTGTCCACCAAGTGGCAATCTGGGGGAAGAGGGACATCTATGCAGTTCCAAAGGGGTCCCCACTAATGGTTTGTCAAGTACAAAGAAATGGTAACTTTGTCGTCCACGTGATTAAGGTGAACTCATCGCCTGGGAAGAAACCAGACCTTTGCCCCCATATACTGCCGTGAGGGGCATATTCACCCTGGTCATTTCTGCACCAAATGCAGAGCCAAAAAAACCATCACCAGGAAGCACCAGACACACCTAATCCAAGGAGCATTCTAAAACCCAGCCGGCCCACTGACTGCATAGAGGTCAAAGCCATTAGAGATAGACACCATAAGGAACTGTCCCAGGTCAGAGGAGACAGGAGATTCCGCACATTAATGCAGGACAGGGCCTTTGACTTTGTGCAAGAAGGAGAAGAAAGCTTCCAGACAATCTCAGCATGGATTAGAGATGGGAGAACAGTATGGTTTCTGCAGCAAATGCTCTGATGTTCACAGTGGTATTACAGAGACATAAGAGAACCCGAGCCTCCCGGGCATCAAACCCCGACAAGAAGAAAGAAAGGCTTTCTGTACCTGGCCTTCTTCCGGAGTAACTTCTGAGATTCGGGATAATGCACCAAAATTTCATTCAAGTCCTTCTTGTCCAGAATGAAGAGGTTGGTGAACCCGTGGGCCACCACATTGGCCGTGCGCCGGTTCCCGCCCCCCACGGCCAGCAGGCTGGAGTGGAAAGGGAGGGAAATGAGAGCATTTGGAGGCTGTGACTTTAGAGACATTGTCTTATGTTTTTGTTGGTGTTGTTTTGCTTTGAGACAGGATCTCACTATGTAGCCCTGGCTGTCCTGGGATTCCCTATGGCCTTGAACTCTCAGAGATTCTCCTGCCTCTGCCTCCTCAGTGCTGGGATTAAAGGTGTGCGCCATCACATCTGGCATTGTTTAGGTTTTGAAATAGAATTCTCTTTGTTTCCTTCAGGCGGATTCCCTATCAGTCCTTTAATAACCGGGACTACAAGTGTATGCCACGCAGTGGCTTGGGTTTTGTTCACATTTCCCCTCTGCCTTCGTGGTACACCTCGGTGGCATCCATCCTACACACTCTGGCAAGGGCAAGTTCAGCACTCTCTGTAGTTTCCCCTGACCCTGGCCCCCAGCCCTTGCCCAGGGTGCATTTGACCCCCTTTCCCCACCACCACTGACCTTATCTCTCCAAACACTGATCCGGCTTTGAGTGTCACCAGAACGGCCTTCCCATCTGGGCCACCCAGGACCTGCACCTGCCCCGCCTGGATGATATACATCTCTCGGCCAATCTCCCCCTGGAACAGAAGAGGGTTGAGTGCCACACCCCATAGCCACCGGGGCTGCCCCCGCCCTGCACCACCAGATCGTGTGGGGATGGGTCACTTTGCTCTTGTCTTTTCTTTTGAATGTTGGGTATGATGCTAATCTATTCTGTAGCTCTCACAGGTATTACCCCATGGTTCACATCCTAGTGAGAAACCATGGCCCATGCCTCAGGAGCTCAGCCAGTGCCCCAGGAACTCGGCCAGTTGACATAGGAATGATAACAACGGTCAGGAGACCCAGAGACCCAGATACATCTTCCAAACTGATACCAGAGGTCTTGCTTCCCACCAGTGAACCCGCTGGGATAAGATTATGCCCTACCAAGATCGTAATGCAAGATCGAGCCAGAGCTGGGGTCTGAATCCAGACAGCCTCACTCCAGCATGCACAGCCGCTGTGGTTAATCTCTGTCCCCAAACCCGGGCTCTGTCTGCTGAAATCCTAATCCCTAGGACCTCCCAATAGGCCCTTGTTTGGAAATAAGGTCGATGCATGTGTAATTTAATTAAGATTACCTACTCGAGCAGGTTGGCCCTCACCCAATCCAACTGGCGCTCTTACAGAAAACGCGTATAGGTGAAGAGAGCCAGAGAAGATGAACATCTTGCTACCTGAGGAAATGAGCCATTCCGTTTGGTCTGCTGGCCCTAGTACACAGTAGCCTGAATCCCAAGTTAACCCAGAGCAATGAATGAATGAGGAAACAAATGAGTAACTAAGGGAACGGATGAATGGATGGCTTGCTCTGGCTTCAATCACACATCTCCCGATCCTCATGCCCTCCCAGATCCTGCCTTGGTGGCCACCTGTCAATCACACCTGTCATGATTAAAAGGGGTGGCAGAAACCCCTTTACACTTTAATTTACTCCACAGATGTCCCTACACACCACCCACAGCTTTCCCTTCTCTTTTCAGTCTCCCAAGGGATCCAAGTGTGGGGGTTCAAGTCCCAGTGTCTCTGAGAGTCGCAGAGGAGCCAACAGCAGAGGGCACTGCTCACACATGCTCCCCAACACCTGAGTCACCTCTCACCTGCTGCGCCAACTCTAAAATCAGACTGAAAATAGTGTCAGCAGTTGCGCCTATTTGGCGCCAAGCAGGCAACTCTTATTCAGTCTTCCCAGCCACCTCACGAAAGAGGCACTATCGAGGTACTATCGAGGCACTATACATCATCCATAAGACCAGGACCCAGAGGGCAGCCACCCACCCAACACTGCACCGCTAGGAAGTGCCTCCCACACTGCAGGGAACACTCTGTGGGTCCCCAACATCCCCCTGCCCCTAAGGCAGCAGCTTTAAATGCTTGTTCTTCTGACTTTCATTCTCTTCCCTTGGCTCAGCCATTTCACTTCCAGAAACTTCGATGCTGCACAGCATACTCCCCAGGAGAGGTGTCCAACTTGCAGCTCTCTGAGCCACATTTGGCCAGGGTTGGCCCAACACAGAACTGTAAACTGAACTCAGGGGTGGCTCAGCAGGTAAAGGCATTTGCTGTCAATCGCGATGAGCAGTTCGATGCCCAGAACCCACATGGTGGAAAGAGAGAACCAAGTGGTCCTCTGACTCCCACAGGTTTGCTATCACACACCCACAGCCCAGCAAATAAGTAATTTCAAAGGAGGGCTAGAGAGAGCGCTTAGGATTTAGGAACACATTGCTCTTCCAGGGGACAATATAAATAAGTAAAAATAAAATCTTTAAAGGACTTTTTTTTAAAAGTCAGACATGGCAACACATGCCTCTAATCCCAGCACTCAGGAGACAGAGGCAGGAGGATTTCTGTAGACCAGCCTGGTCTACATAGTGAGTTCCAGGGCTGCCACGGTTATAGAGAAAGACCCTGTCTCAAAAATAATAACTAATAATTTTAAATGACAGGGGCTGGAGGCTCCTAAGTCTTACATTATTTTCGCCCCACGCTCACCTAGACTTATTAATATCGCTGTACAAAAGACCTGAAGCTTGCCCACCCCTGCCCCTGGTGACCTTGCTGCCATCTTGGACCCCTTGACAAGGAGCACAAAGGACTTTACACTGCCAAGGACCAGTTTCTAACATATGTGTTTCCTAGGTGACTCAAAGCAATGAAGACAGCCCGATGTGGAGTGGAACAGTGTGGTGGCCCCCAGGCATCAGACAGGGCATCACCTGTCCCCTTTAGGAACAACCCCTGCCCTCATGCTGACTCCCTACTGTGGGAAGTGGAGTCCAGAGCTAATCAAAGCTCTGTGTCATCCAGACATTTGAATTTTGATGTGAAATCTCCCAACTTTTAAAGGTTAGGGATTAATTCCACTTAAACAACTTCATGAAACACCTCAGGGCTGTAAACTGCCCACTCCTCACACCCCACGCCCCAGTGGCCCCTTCCCCGCTGTGCAGAGCTCACCTTCTTGACACCCCATGCCCCAGTGGCCCCCTCACAGGCCCCGCAGGCGCGCTCCTCACACCCCACGCCCCAGCGGCCCCTCCCCGCTGTGCAGAGCTCACCTTCTTGCACACATAGTCATTGGGCAGGTAGACAACTGAGCGAAGGCGCTTGAGCATGTCAAAGATCATCTGCCGGTCACAGCCCTGCCCAGACGGAGACCGGGGGGGTCTGTTAGAAGAAGGCAGGGGTCTTGTCCCAGACCCCCAGTGGGAGGGCACCCGTGAGGGTACCTGGAAGAGCGCCACCTTGCTGACAATGTCGTAGTTCACATCGATGGCCAGGTCCAGTCTCATCTTGTCTGGAAGCTGCACCATCAGCTCTGACTCATCTGCGAAGGAGACCCAGCAGGGGTCAGAGTTCAGGCCAGGCCTGACCCTGACACCACTCGCAGCCATGCAACCGTGTGAGACGCTGCTCAGCCAACTCAGCTTCCCTGGCCACAGGGAGCCTCTCCAGAGTCGGAGAGTTCCCCCTGTTAGGAACACCATCCCCTTCATTCCAAACTCCTACTCATCCTTCAAGACCGAGGACTAATGCCACTTCCTCCAGGACGCCTGACATTGATGCCCCTACCGAGTTTTTGTATCAGTGATCCCTATTCTGTAACATCTGCCACCGCCACTTTGATTTTCTTTTACATCGTTACATTATGCACGCACGCGTGCGTGCATGCGTGTGTGTGTGTGTGTGTGTGTGTGTGTATGTGCGTGCACGCATGTGCACAATAGTACACATGCAGAGGTCAGAGGGCAACTTGTGGAAGTCCGATCTCTCCTACCATTGGGTCCTAGGGATAGAGCCTGAGGCCTCACACAGCAGCAAGCTGAGTCATCTCACTGGTCCACCTGCCACCTCATTCACTGGGAGACAAGGTCTAGCTATGTGGTGTGCCCATGACTCAAACTGAAAGCAGCCCTGCTAAGTGCAGGATCCCAGGCCTGAGCTGCCATGCCTGGCTGCATCCTCGGTTGCAATCGCTTCCACCTTGGACGGGGCTGCAGCTTAAGGTAGAGGAAGCAAGAGGAGAGTGGCTGTCCAGAGGACAAGCTCTTCAGGTGTTCCAGGGCCTTCGGGTTCCTGGGGGGTCCCTCTAATATACGGTAGGGGTGTAACCAAGAGAGACCCCTCAGACCACAGAGGACAAGGGACGAGTCGGCCAATCTGGGAATCAGGTGAAAGTTGGTTGGGGGAGGCGGGGGGGGGATTTGGCCAGTCTTACCCAGCATGCCTTGTGAATGCCAGGTATACTCATACCAGGTCTTGACACGGTTCTGCACAGACCTGGGGATCCTGTAGAAGTTCATGTACTTCACCGTACTGTCCATGCAGCTGCGGTAGTAGGTCTGTCCCGCTGTGGCAGCCCCCACCACATCTCTCATCTAGAGGAAGACAGCAGTGAGGGGGGTTAAGGAAGTGTTGGGCCGAAGCTGGGCAGGACACGGGTTTGGTTGTGTAGCAGTACACAGATCGGGGACCCATGCTGGTGGGTAAGTCGGGGAGAAAAGCATACATGGCCACAGTAAAGCATGGACACTGGAAGAGAAGCAAGGCTGCAGACCTCTCTGGCCACCTCAGGTCCGCAGCACAATGCTGGGGGGTCCCATTGGGAGAGGCTGATGCTGGTGTACAGACGCTCGCCCCAGGGAGAGACACAGAACCTAGCACATTGGTTCTCAGAGTGGGACCCTTCTGAGTTTGCTTTGAGGACTCAGTTTGTTGCCTCATGTCCTGACTAGAACACAAGTTACCCATCACATCAGAGACACCAAAGGGTTTTCTTACAGGGCACAGCCCAAGTCCCCAGCCTTTGAAAAGGCCATGTAACCACCACCATGCTTACTGTGCTCCCAAGGGACTAACATTCAAACAGGAAGACGTCAGGCTGTCTTGGGACACAGACATCCTCCTGTTCCAAATGCCATGGGCTCCTGGCTCAGCCTGAATATCCTCTGCACTCCATCCCAAAGCCACAACACACAGGGAAGTTTCTAGTTGGTCAGGGGAGCCACAGGTGGATGGATGTGTGACCCCCAGTTACCTGTCCAATCATCACAGAGAAAGCGAAGACACCTGTAAAATAATTCAGCAGCTGGAAGACAATTTCAAAGAGTGTCTGGGGGTCGGGCAGCCCTCCAATGGTGATGAGGGTTTTCACAGCCCAGTAGTAGCATCGGATGTAACTAGTAAGAGATGAGAAGAGGGACCTTGGTCAGTACAGGAACTGCTGACCTTGCGATCCTGGTTCAGACGCCCGGAGGGACCCCACATAGCCACAGATGCAAGAAATGACCTCACCTCCAGCAGCACTCTCAAATGCTACAGGTGTGGCTGAGGCTCTGCCCCGGCTCTGTGAGAACGTGTCACCCTGAGACACGGATATGGAACTGAGGTTCCAGCAGACACCTGGTGACAGACCAGGCTGACTCCTCCCTGAAGTCAGCAAAGGGGAGGCCAGCAGGGCCAAGGCAGTTCCAGGAGACAGCAAGGAAGAGCTGGCAGGGAGACAGTCTGGCCCTGGTAACTGGGTCCCTCAGTTTCCAGTCTCTTTCTTTGCTCTCGCAAAGTAAGAAAGAAAACAAAACCAGGAGATACTGCTGGCCCTCACATCTGAAGGGCTTGCTCCTGTGGACCCTACCAGCTGCAAATGGGAAACACTTGGTGGAAGAGTGTGTCTAAATTGGTTCAGTACACACACACACGCACACACACACATACACACACATGCACGCATGCACACACACACACACACACGAAGGCACGCACACATGCACGCACAAATTTGAAAAACCATGTGTCTGAGTATGTGAAGACTTTCTTGTCATTATTTTCTAATGATGCAATACAGCAACCATCAGGCAGTGTCTGTACTGTATGAGGTATTGTGAGGGCTCTAGAGATGGAGTATTCTCTGAGAGGGTATGTGCAGGTCACATGCAAACACTGGGTCATTTCACATAAGAGACTTCTCTCTCTCTCTCTCTCTCTCTCTCTCTCTCTCTCTCTCTCTCTGACAGGGTATCACCATGTAGCTCCAGCTATATAGACCAGGCTGGCCTCACAGAGATCTGCCTGTCTGGTGTGTGCTACATAACCATCAATTGTACCTTTTCTAACCCTGTCCTTCCTCACAATTTTCCACCTAGGGAAACTGAGGCCCACAAAGGGAAAAGGACTCCGGTCTCCGGGTGACACATTCCAGGACTTTTACAAGAGCCCAGGGCATGGTCTGCTGCTCTAAGCATCATGTACCCTTAGGTAGCCACCAGTACAAGCTCAGGGTTCCTGGGACAGGAAGTACAGGTGGTGAGGTCCTACTGTGTGAGAAAAGGCACAGGAAATACCCTGCAATTGTCTAATGGTCACAAAACTGCAGGCCTGGTACACCTGACCACAGATCCAGCCGGGCATTCCTGACCAGGCCCTAAGTCAGCCATCAAGACCTGAGCAGTGCTGTGCCTGCCTTGACCTGTTGTGGGGAGCAAAGCAGACTAGCCACTTCCAGACGCTTCCCACTTAGTGGGAACAAGCACCCGTGCACACCTATGCCGAGAGGGAGCCCAGGCGGCTGGAGTTGCGGCAGGGTGTGTGTATGTTTGTGCGTGTGCACGCGTGTGCCTGTGTGCATGCACCCACTCTGCCTCAGACTACCTGGGAGACGGTAGGCAGGGCTCCTTGTCGCCAGTTGCCTGGACATTTGATGACATCAGACCTATCTGCCCAGACAACACATGTCATACCAGTACTGGCCACAAGGGGGTGCATGAAGCAACTTAGGCAGAACTAAGTGCCACCGCACCCACCCCCCCCACACACCCTATCAACCATCAAGCCAACCCAACTGCGGAGGAAGCTGAGTGTTCGTGCAATTAGGTAGTGAACCACAGAAGGTGTAAGAGTGGTGTCCTCAGCCCTGACTTTTCCCTAAAAGTTTCTAATTGGAGTATCTCCCACGGACACGGCGCATGGCGCATATTGGGACCTCCTGCAGAGGGTCCCAGCTCGGCACAGAGCCCGGTAGACTGCCACAGGCGGGAACTGGTTTTCCAAGGTTCCTGCTCCAGCACACAGCAGACTCCCAGGATGTGGTTATAGTCGGTGTTTGTGCTATTGACCTTGAAGAATTTTCTGTTACTGCATTTTGTTCCCTATGCAGGGTCCCTGGAGGACTCCCCTGGGAAAGAAAGTGTGACAGCAAGTAGGCCTAACCCTCTCCCACCCCACACCCCTGCCTGGGTCCCTGGGAAGAAGGTTCCAGAGATCTACTGATCTCTCCATCCTGCTCTTTCCTTCCAGGCCTGCAGGTCTGGCCTGCCCTTGAGAAGTGGCTTCTTAGATTCCAGGGCCCAGACTCCTTTGGGAATTGAAGGAGAGCCATACAGCTACCCAGAACAGCTGATATATTCTCAGAATGAAGCTTCTGTTTCCAGGCTGGGGCTGTTAGAACCCTTCCCGGGCATGCTGGCTTTCACAGCCGGGGCAGTCACTGACGCGGCACCCAGGCGCCAGCTAGACACTCACACTCAGTGTTTCTGTTTTGTTATTATTTCTTGTCACAAGACTCCGAGGTAGCATCCAAGCACTCAGGAAGCCAGGGGGATAGAAAATCCAACACCAACTTGGGCTACAGAGTGAACTCAAGGCCATCCTGGGCAATTTAGAGAGACGGACTTAAAAACATTTAGTTTATCCTGCACCAGAAGGCCTTGGGCTCTATCCCCAGAACGTAAAGTATGTGTATATATGTGTATATGGTAAGGAAGCAGTGAAGCCGGAGGCCAGAGATTCACACACAGTCATGTGCTGTGGGTGCGAGATACACACAGGATTTGAAAGGCATAGAGGAAGCAGGCCAGCTCACCAACGTCTGCTCAACCACCTGCCACTCATGCTTAACACAGCAATTACATGCAGAAGGGATAATTTTGTCATTGGGATGAATCAAATACATTACTAAAATTAATTGCACCTCCTTTTATGCTTATAATGTGGCTATTAAAACATTTCAAGTTGCGTGTAGGAGTCACGTCGTATTGTAATGTTGCATAAATTGCACAGCCTTGCTTTAGGCCGTAGGGAACCAGCTATGGCTTGTTGTTTGCTGGCCACCGTATTGGATACACATATATGCATAATGCCATATGCAATACTTTGCGGATGCTGACTCTAAGAGAAAAACCAGGAACACACTCTCCTGTTACATCCCTTCAGTTCTAAGAGGCAGTAATTGCATAGCGCACCAATGCGCCAACTCAGGTTTGTTTTTTGCTTTTCTTTTTTTGAGGTACTGGAGTTTGAGCCCAGGGCCCTATGCATGTTAAGCAAGCTCTCTCACACTGAGCTGCATCTTAAACCCAAATTCAGCCTTTTGTACAAAAATAAGTATCGTGTTACACTTACACATGGATTATCCTTATACCTCAAATTTAGAAATGCTAAAATCTGAAAAAGTAGGTCGCCCACAGGGAGGTAAAATAACACAATATCACATAGATGTTCTGAAACTATGCTGCTTCCGCCAGCAATCCTTCCATTGGTCCCAACGGCACCTCCATTTCTTCTGTATGGCGAATGACATCATGGGGAACATCTTTACCCAGGAGTCCTTGTCCCGTGCCATGAATGTTTTCTCACACTAAGTCTGTGTGGTATACTTTCCAACCTTACTGGACCTGGGGATGCTAAGAAGATCCTAGCACATCTCATGCCCAGACCCTCTCCCGGCACCTGCAATCCCCAGGGGACCTTCGCTTAGGGACATGGATGGGAAAGGAGAACTTGGCCCTAGAGCCTTGGCCATGACTGGCTCCTCAGGAGCAAGGTTGTCTTGGCAACGCAATGGCTGTAACTGTAGGCTCACCTGTTCCCCACGCCGTCGTAAACCCAGTGAGTGGAACCGATGCCCTGGAAGGCCGATGCCCAGTAGTAAAGACAGGAGTTGAGGTGCAAGCTGTAGAGCAGGTAGGCAGTGGTCCTGATGACCCTGAAGAGGGAGAGGGTGACACAGCCAGGGAGGTGACATCTTGCCCCAGGGGCAGCGCTTCAGGGAACGAACTAGATCTCAGATCCCCGAAGCCCGCCTTACAGTTTCCCTGCTGGAACCACATAACCCTGCCCAGTCACCCAGTCAGATACCCAGCCTTACTCTCCTCTCCTGGATTCCTTTAATTCTAAGGTATAGTATAATTCTAAGGTATATAACTGCATGACACACCCCTCAGTCAATTCAGGTTTGTCTTTGTGAAAGGACTGGAATTGAACCAGGGGTCTTGACTGGAGCCTTGTGAAAACACAGGGCCGAACTCAGCCCAGCTGTGGCAGAGAAATCTCTACAGATGAATGCTGGGAAAGCTGAGGGGTCAAAGGGTAGGAGCAGGGAGGAGACAGGCGAGTGCAGGCAAATGACAATGAAGTGAGGAGGAGCTATGTGTCCTTGATGTAGCCTTGCGCCCCAGTATGGCCTAGGTGGTCCTGAGTCCTACCTTGAACATCTGTGTTGCTCCCGCTGTGTTCTTACAAATGGTTTCTCTGTTAGAGCTAGGGTGGGACTTCAATTCCCTGGACTGACACAGAAACGCTGACCTGTCACTTGAGTCAACCTGTGAGAGTCCTTGTCACAGTGTGTGTGTGTGGGGGGTGTAAAAAGACATTCATGGATCTTATAAAACAAATGAACAAACCAAATATTGTTCCAGAGAAGAGCCTGAGCCAAGAAGAGGCCTGGTTTCTAGAGGCCATGAGGCCTGGGGAAGGGAGAGCAGCTAGTGTGTATGGCGTGTGTGTGAGTGTGTGTGTGTGTGTGTGTGTGTGTGTGTGTGTGTGTGTGTGTATGGGGAACTCTCACCTGTAAACGTAGGCTTTGCTGAGGATGGCTTCCAATCGGTTATTAAACTCGAAGAAGGCCATGTACTGGAGGGAGAGGAAGGTGTCAGGGTTGTCTTGTGCCTCCTGGGGACATGGCACACTGCTCTCGCCTCCCACCCTACCCACTGGCTGCCAGGCAGCCCTCTTTGCACTCTTCCTCTAGGTAACCAGTGTTATTATGGTTCCCCCTGTTGGTAGTCGTCCCCATTTGCTGTCTTTGGAAAAGAGCATCAGTATCATGTCTGGGGGATAGTAAATTTAATCGGTTGGTTAGAAAAGTCCACACAGGGGATCCAGAGTGCTCTGAGTGGCCGTCGATCCTGACCACATTCACTTGTCAGATCTCCACTCTGCATCAGTCAGATCCGCCTAGGACTCTAGGTCCAGCCAGTGAGTGTCAGAAAAAAACAACGGATGACACTGAGTGCGGATAAAGTGAGTGCTGTGCATTCAAATCTGTCCTTGCCACAGCCTTACTCCTGTTACCTTGGGCAAGTCACCCAGCCCTTCCAAGGGCCAATTTCCCATCTTTCTAGAGAAGTCCATTATAAAGCAGAAGCCCCTTCTTGGAGAAGCTCTGTAGGGATGGAGTTGGAGCTAGACTGCCTACGTTCAAATCCAGACTCCACTCCTGCCTTGCTATGTGACACTGGGCAAGTTCCTTAGCCTCTCTGCGTCCCTTCCCTTAAAATGGTCACAACAGCATCTAAGTAATGGAATCGAAGGAAAGACTAGACTTAGTAGAGTCTCTGCATCGGAGATGAACAAGAGTGTCCCCAAGTCGCCAGCAATTATAACAAGCTTCGGACTAAGACATGCTTGGAGGGCATTCGCCTCCCCAGGATCTCCTCTTGGGGACACCTTCCCCTCCCCAAGTGGCAGTGCCTGTGCCAAGCCAGGAGGAGCGGAAGGCCCCGGGGACCTGCCAATCCTACCTTCAAGCAGCGGGGCAGGCGAAGGAGGGGGTTCACTCCGAGTTTCAAGTAGAGGAAGTCCAAGGGCAGGAGGCAGAGCAGGTCCATCTGAAAACCAATGGGGCACCGCAGGGGTGAGGCGCAAACCCTGGGGGTAGGGGTGCTAAAGGGTGTGTCTCTATCAGCCAGAGAGAAGGGTCAGAATGCTCAGGACAGCCTCGGATGAGAGGGCACAAGGCTTCCCACCCACCCACCCCTCTGTGGCTTCATAGTCCGTGACGCGGTGCCCATCTCCAGGGCAGTCTGTCACCAACCAACGCAAGCGGCCCTATGCTGCCTACGTGGATGTGGAGGCAGACATGGACAGGTGTTCTGTGAGGGTCGCCCAGCCTGGGCTGTCTCGGGAGGCGTATGACCTAGTGGGCATTCCCATGGGAGATGGGACTAGCCTCTTTTTATGTGTCCGGAACTGCACGGCACATGCCCCCAGATACCCAGACCCCTCAGAGACCCAGCGGCAGCCGCTCACCCCTATCCCCCGCCCCAGTACACACCTTAAACCGGCGGGACTTCAGATAGTTGTTGCGCATCTCCTTTTTGTCTGTCTGGAAGAAGGAGGCACAGTGATGATGAGGTGATGGGGTCAGATTAAGTTCCGACCAGAGAGAGTCAGGATGCCATCACAGCCTTGCTGCCAGGAAGGACTTGTGGTTTCGGGTGAGTGAGTAGCCATGGGAGTAAGCCACACTGGAGTCACCAGCCAGCCTCCGTGAGTGGAGGAAAGTGGGGGCTTGGAGCCTGTTCTCTCAGTGCCCAGCTCCTCCCAGGACTACTGGCCACTTGATCTGTGAGGAGCCGGCAACTGCTCTGAGGGGGCTGGGGAGGAAGGTCGGCCAAAGACTCCTTCCTTGCTACCAACTCTTTCATTTCCGGCATATGTTGTCTAGGGTGGCACAGGCTCACAATGCACTTTAATTCATGGTGCCTGTTGTTAACAGCAACATTTGCAGCCGGTGAAGCAGCTGTTGGCCTAGTATCGCTTGCTGTGGCATCCAACGAATATGGTACAATGTCCAAAGCCTTAACTTTTGTGATGTTGCATTTTATTTTACCAATCGTTATGCTAACCCCTTAACAGGGCACTCAAAAGCCTCACACAGCTTAATAAATAGTTCATAATTCTATTGATTTCCTTTTTTCTTTACTGAATGATTCTTTTTACTAAAAGATTAAATTTTCTTCATGTGATTGTGTGTTTGTGTCTGTGTCCAATGCCAGAGGAGGGCATTGGATCTCCATAGCTACCCAATGTGGGTGCTGGGAATTGAACTTGGGTCCTCTAGAAGAGCAGGTAGTGTTCATAACCGATGGGCCATCTCTCCAGAGACCTTGACTCATCTTGTTTTGAGACAGGTCTTTCTTTGTAGACTAGGCTGGCCTAGAATTTACAAAGATCCTCCCTGCCTCAGCCTCCTGTGCTGGGATTGAAGGTGGGTGCCACCATGCCTGGTTCCCTCTTAATTCTTATCAATATAATGGAAGTGGCTAAAACCTTTTTCCAATATTTCTGACTCCCTATCTATATGTTAACAGCCCGACTTCCTCCATTGATTCTTAAAGCTATCCCTTATCAAAGAGAAGTTTGATCCAGAAGAGGCCACTTAGAAGCTGTTTGAGAAGAAAGACCTCAGCTTTGCTGAAGTGTGGATTTTCTTTTTAACTTTTCAATCGTGAAGATGGACCCCAGAGCCTCGGCGAGCTAGGCAAGCACCGCTGAGCTACACACCAGGAGGACTACACAGCCAGGCCTCGGTGTGGGATTTTTTTTTTTTTTTTGGTTTTTCGAGACAGGGTTTCTCTGTATTGTTTTGGAGGCTATCGGTCCAGCCCAGCCTCGAACTCACAGAGATCCGCCTGCCTCTGCCTCCGGAGTGCTGGGATTAAAGGCGTGCACCACCACCGCCCGGCTTCGGTGTGGGATTTTAGACTTGTTCACCGCACTGGGAACTGGGACGCCTGCTTCTCTCCCCTTTCCTTTCTCGTGTCCCTTCCCCCAACCCCCAGCCCCTGTGTTTTTAAGATGGTTCTGCTGGGGTGGCAGTGGCCCACACCTTTAATCTCATCACTCAGGGAGGCAGAGGCAGTAAGTTTGAAGCCAGGCTGGTCTACAGAGCGAGTTCCAGGACAGCTAGAGCTACACAGACAAACCATGTCTTGAAAGAAAAAAAAAGGACAGGTTTTCACTACACAGCCTGGTCTACTTTGAACTCAGCTCCACCTGTCTTGGCCTCCTGAGTGCTAGGACTACAGGCATGTGTAACCCTAGGGTTACAGTTAGGGCTTTGGTTTCCTCACAGCGAGGGGCCGGCTCAGGCTGTTCCACACAGGAGATCAGCTCCGTGCCCTTCGCAGGAGGCACTAGCTCCCTGAGCCCTGTATTCTTCGTGCACCGTATAGTTCTCACAGCCAATACTTGCATCATGTGGGCAGCGGCTACCACCCTGTTCCCAGATGAGGACTCTGAAGCTCAGACAGGGCTTCAGGGGGAACTTGAAGCAGCTGCCCCAGATGCTATTCTCTGGACCACTTCTCCTTTGACTCTATCAGATGGTCTGGGGACCAGTTCATCGTGGAATGGTATCTAATGTGTATAATCTGAACACACGCAAGAGGCGAAAGCAAAACATGAACGTCTGCTCCCAGGATTTCCTTGTTCATTCATTCTGTCACCTGTCAGGTCATCTAAGGTCAATCCCCTGGAGGCCCTGGCTGGAGGGGGTGACCAGGGCAGACCCTCTCCGCCTGCCTGTGACTCACAATGATGTCCCCGCCTTTGACAAACTGCAGGCGCATCTGGAACACGGTGATGTCCAGGAGGTAGATGAGGTCACACAGGTAATCCATCAGCAGCCAGAAGTGGATGTTGTCTGGCCGCTGGTACGGGAAGGCCCACCGCACGGGGATCAGCCAGCAGTTCCAGTTCCAGGCCAGCACCACGAAGAACAGCCACAGGATGTACATGAGGTCTGTGGGGGAACAGGGATGGGCTTGGGGGCCTCTCACCCGGGCAACCGCGTGTGGACTTCATCCCATGGAAGATAGACAAACAGATGGGCAGACAGGTGGATGAGTGAATGAATGGATAGGTGGCCATGGAGGCCACTGATAGGCCCTAACGATCAGAGTCTTCTGATGGGGGGCATGGTGGCGTTACTGGATAACAGACAGCTAAGTGGAAACCCCTCCTGCTTTCCATATTTAAAACTTTTTATTACATTCATTTATTTATGGGGGTTGGAAGGATATTATAGAGTGCTTTGGAGGTCAGAGGTCAACTCTTGGGAATTAGTTCTCTCCTTTCACCATGTGGCTCCTGGGAACAGAACTTAGGTTGTCAGGCCTGGCTGGCATATTTAGTCACTCAGCTACCTCACCGGCCCACGAACAGGTTTTGACAATAAATTTTCCATCATAGGAAATCCAGAGCAGTAAATGACACATGGGAAATGAACAGATTGATGGACACACAGGTGGGTGGATACATGGACGGACTAGAGATCACTTGGTATCTTAGAAACACGGTAGACACCAGGGTTGGGGTCCTGCTCTTGAGCGATTCCCTGCTTAACTCTAAAGAAATTCCTCCCTGGCACCTGCCTTGGTCTTTTTGAGGTCACAGGAAGTCGCCAGCGGGGAAGGCAAGGGGCTCCATTGTGAACTGGGAAGTGTGGTACACACATGGAGGGTTCTGGGCTATGGAATAGACTTACAGAGGCTCACGGGAATTCACATCTGACTGTGGGGACCTGCCCCTGCTCAGAGCTCCCGGAAGGAGCCCACACGGTCAGTTAGAAAGAAGACTTGGCCATGGTCAAGGTGAGGAGTCTAACTGGCTGCATTTCAGGTCCTTCCCTGTGCCTCAGCTTCTTCATCTGTAAAATGGGTGTGGCCCATGTCGCTAGTCCCGGGGTCTCGTGCTAAAGATTCAGGCAAGGGCATGTGGAATCATTTTTGGAAAGTGTAAGGAATTGTGGACCAAGGATGTCCATGGTATTGGCCCCTGCCTCCCTTCTCACATTGCATGTGGGGGACCCCTCCAAGGGGACTCACTGGTCAGTGGGTCGATGCTCTGGGGGAACCGGTACGTCTTCCAGGGCCTGCGCTTGAACTTGCAGCAGAGCATGTCGCAGTAATGCTCCTCCTCCGCTGCCTCTGCCTCTGCAGGCTTCTGGGCTGCGGCTGGCTCTGGAGCCTTCTTGGCTGGGGCTGTGGGACGACATTAGTGATCATCTGACCCAGCCCTGAGGCTTCGTAGAAGATGGAGGGAAAACGGTCCCATCCTCGGATCTGGAACAGCAAGGCCTCCACACTTCCTAACACACAACCTGCTCCTAAACGCTGAATGCAGAAGCCAATATGCTCCTTGGGAGTGAACTCCATGGCCCTCTCTTCCACAGCAGTCTGGTCCCTGGTAGCTCTTCCTAGACCCCAGCCAGGAGATACTCCTCAAGAGCACACTTCATCTCAGTGTGTGTGTGTGTGTGTGTGTGTGTGTCTGTGTGTGTGTGTGTGCGCGTGTGCACACATCTGTCTATCTGTGTCTGTGTGTCAGTGGACCCCTTGCTCCTTTGATGCCCATGCCCCCATCTTCCTTACTCAGAATGCTGAAGGGGTCAGTCAACTTGGGGACATGTTAATTCAGACTCAGCTCTACTACCTGGCTGGGATTCAGCCTTCCGTGTGTCTGTGACACTGTGTGTTGGCTCTTAGGGGTCCAACGCGGCTGTGTTTCTAGTGTTAGGAGTATAAAGTCAGTTTCTGATAACCTGTCATGGGCATTTGAGTCCCAGTGCACAACCCTTATGAGAAAAAACTAGAAAATATCCCTAGCAAAAAGCTTGTTTATTGGGCTAGGAATAGTGGAATGCACCTTTAATTCTAGTACTTGGAAGGCAAATGCAAATGGATCTCAGTGAGTTCAAGACCACCCTGGTCTACAAAGTGTCAGGCAGGACTACACAGTGAGACTCTATTTAAAAAAGAAAAAGGAAAGAAAACATGTTCGAGTTTGTTCTTGTTCATTTTCTTCCTCTTTGTTTCTGTTTCTGATAGTACCTCCCTATATAGTCCAGGCTGGCCCCAAACTTGTGATTCTCCAGCCTCAGACTCCCAAGCACTAGGGATTCCAGGCATTTATCTCCTTTCCAGATGGCTCCTTAAAGGAAAGAGATGTTAGCCCAGCATGCTGGCTCACACTTGCAATTCCAGCATGTGGGAGGATTGCCATGAGTTCCAAGCCAACCTGGGGCTACTGGGTGAGTTCCAGCTGGAGCTATAGAATGAGATCCTGTCTCAAAAAAGAAAAAAAGAACTATTCAGATGGCCCCCAAAAGACATGAATGCCTCTGAATATAAAGACTGCCTGATGCCAAGTGGTGGTGGCACACACCCTTGATCCCTGCACTCAGGAGGCAGAGACAGGAGGATCTCTGAGTTCAAGGCCAACCTGGGCTAGAGAGAGAGGGGGAGAGAGAGAGAGAGAGAGAGAGAGACAGAGAGACAGAGAGAGACAGAGAGAGACAGAGAGAGACAGAGAGAGACTGCTTCCAGAGCAGCTATGTTAACCCTGAGAGCAAATCTGAGATAGACATCCCGGCTGCCCTCCCCTCTGGGAGAAGGAGGCAGAAGAGTCTATAAGCCACTAGCTTTGACCTTCTTCCTCTCCCAAGTACACATCTAAGGCCCAAATCCAGAGTTTGGGGGCCTGAGCTTTTCTCTTACACCCCAACAATTTGCTTTTGGCACACTCCCCAGCAGTAGGTGATGGGGTTCTTTGGGCACCACACCCTGCTTGGCCTGTGGCCGCCTCTACCCCCACTCACAGGGCTTGGGGCTCTCCTCATCAGAAGTGACATCGGGGTCAATGAGCTTCTCCTTCACCTTCTCGGTCCGTTCCTTAAACAGCTTCACCAGCTCCTGGAGCCGGTCATTGATGATGGCACTGCTCTGGCTGGCTGTGGAGGCTGCACGGTCCTGGCCACTGTGGGAACACCACCGAGGATAAACACCAAACAGGAAGGGTCCCAGGACCCCAGGCCTACGCTGAGTAATGCCTCCACTTTAGCAAAGTCCAAGGGAGGCCAATTAAACCCATTTTTTTTCTGACAATGTCAGACCCACCCCACTCTCCTAGCTTCTGGAAGAGCTGAGATTATAGCCCTGTGGCACCATGTATGGCTGGGGTTTTCTCTTTCTAGTCTTATCCAGAGCATTTTATATGTGGAGATACCAGAGTCACTGCCACTTGGGTCCCTAAATGACTGCATGAAGCACAGCCTTCCCCTGACCCGAAAAACACAAGTAGTGCTGTGACTATAAATATGCGACATCTTGTCTTTTTAGTCACTGAACCACCAGGGTTTGTTTATTACAGCAGCTAAGCCTACATAACTTACATGTGGGTCTCTATATTGACCTCTTTATACGATCCCAAGGGTAATTTTCATTGTTTGATTTCTGCCAAATTTTTCTTATGTTAAATCTTAACTGTGTCCCTGCTCTGCTACATAAAATACCATTTCATTGTGTTGAAGTGTCAACTGGACTGTGTAAGATTTGGAGATTCCCTGAGTCTATCTTCTTTGAATTTTCCACAACCCTGGAAAGTATAAAGTGAATAAAATAATGCAGAGAGGGTCAGGGGATGACTCCACAGATAAAGTGCTTGCTGCAAAGGCCCGAGGGCCTGAGTTCATCCCCAACCCGATGAAAAGTCAAAGAGAACTAACTCCATGAAGATGACCTCTGATTTACATGTCTACCATGGCACACATATATGTGCTCATCATGTATGTGACATCAACACATACTTACAATAACAACAAATAAATACATTTTAAAGCAAATAAATACAATTATGGGCAGAAAAAGGACAGAAGGAAGGAGGCAGGCCTACATCCAGTTTCTTGTAGTCAATACAGGGGTCATGCCTGGAGAGCATGTTAGGGTGTCTAGGCCAGTGTCCTGGGCTGGGCACTTAACATCAACCAGGACTTCTGAAAACCTTCAGGAAGGTACTTTATCATGACCCAGTCCTGGGGACAGTTAGATACAGGGACTCGGCTTTCCAATTCTGCCATCATGGCCTCCAGCCATGTCCTACATGCCAGCTAACGAAGTCGCCCAGAATGCTATGGAAATGCAAGTTTTGGGACCTCTGTGCAGAGCTGTGTGGAGCCTGGGATCAGATTGAACAAGCTCCCAGGTGGGGACCTACAGCAGATCCTTGGGTCCTCTCCTCCTGTAGACTTATTTGGGGTTCAGTGCCAAGATCGTTGGCGGGGTGGGGCTTCTGCCTGGGTACTCCTTCCTCTCTGATCATTCTGGAATGAACGCATCTTGCCTAGAGTTCAAGCCCACCCCTGGGCCAACCAGGAAAGTCCTGGGCAGGAGAGCTGTTCCCGCCTTACCACTCCAAAACGTACAGTTCTCCTTGTGTGGGGTCCTACAAGCACCCCAGGTTCCCCTCCTCTCTGTCTGCTCATCCCAAACCCACCTTGAAGTCTCTGAGACTCAGGAGTGGCTCCACTTACTCAGCCTCCTGTGGGGTGGTGGGGTCTGACCAGGCCACCACTGGGGACTCTGCTGGTGACAGTGCCTTGAGCTCTTCAGCTTCGTCATCCTGAGAGGGTAGCTTCTTCCTGTAGAGACCCAGACAGGTATGGGACCTTCAGAGAAGGCCAGATAAGGGAAGTAAATGGCTGCCTTCTAGCTGGTTCTTGGGAGAAGAGGAGGCCTGGTCTCAGGACCCCGGTGTTTGCACAACTCTCAGTGGCCTGGCCCAAAGTGAACAGCATGGACTTAGTATAGGACAAACTTGGAATCTGACCTAGGAACATCATTTAAACAATAGAGTGCCTCCACCTTTTCTTCTATAAGTGGCACTGGATATGCCCAGTGAAACAGAGGTGCCTGTCCCTCAGCTAAGTCTCTGCCTATGTGTCCTTCTATCCTTCGGCCTCCTATTTCTGATCTGAAGTTCCCTAACCCTCCCTCCTCACATTATACCACCCTTCAGCTGTGAGACAAGGCTGTGGAGTCTAGTCTTCAGCTCACAGTGGGACTTTGAACAAGTCCACTGCTTCTTAACTGTAGGCTCCTAACTACAGAATGAAGACTAAGTGTGTGGGTAGGGCTGTCATTCAGGAACACCACAGGTTGCTGCATTTGGAGCCACTAGGATCTTGTCTGATTAGACGTGAAGGTCCACAGGTCAGAGCCTGGGTGGCATGAGCTGTGGGCAGGGGGACCCTTGGCACTGTTTGACATTGGCATCCTCAGGACTAACTCTCTGGACTCTCCCACCCTCATCCTCAAGAGTGGGGATGGATTGTTTTATGGAGGAATCCAAAACCCTGGGAAAGACAGACATTTCTTAACACCACCAAGAAAGCCATCCCCAGCCTCAGAGAAAGACCTGCTTAGGGTGGAGTAGAGTAACTCAACACAGAAACACAGAGATGGCACCTGGAGGATGCAGGTCAGGCCGAGGTCCAGGGATGGTTTTCTGTGTGTCTGTGTATCTCCATGTGTGCGTGTGCATGTGTGTGTGTGGGTGTGTATGTGCGTGCACACGCATGCACGTGTGTGTGTTTTTCTCTCATTTTCTTTCTCATTTTTAAACAAGGTCCTGACATGTGGCCTTTGCTGTTTCCAAATTTGTGATCCTCCTGCCTTAGCCTCCAGAGTCCTGCAATTAAATGCATGTTCTATCAGCGCACAGTTTAGAAACAAACATTTTGCCAGGCAGTGGTGAAGCACGCCTTTAATCCCAGCACACAGGAGGCAGAGGCAAGCGGATCTCTGTGAGTTTGAGACCAGCCTAGTCTACAGAGCGGGTTCTGGGACAGCCTCCAAAGCCACAGAGAAACCCTGTCTCAAAAAAACAAACAAACAAAAAACCTAAACATTTTATGAGATAATGAATGCAGAAAAGAAGAGTGGTCATTCCCTAAAGACTCTTAACATATAAACACAAAATGCCCAATGTTAACACATGGAACCAAGAGTCTGGGGACATAGATAGGTGTGTTAACCCATGAGGGCAAAATGAAAGTCAGAACATCAGGGAACAAGAAGATGAGTGCTTAGGACCTAAACTAGAGTGTGCTCCAAATGAGAACATCAGGGCAATGCATGTGGATGGGTCCACATAGAAAAGTTCTTTGGGACACAAAAGATAAAAGAAATCAGGATAAATGTAATGGGACATTTCCACAGCCCTGGAAGAGCAGAGGCAGGAAGCTTGTGAGTTCAAAACAAGCCTGGGCTTCCTGGTGAAACACTGACTCAAAAAGAAGAAGAAGGAGAAGAAGAAGAAGAAGAAGAAGAAGAAGAAGAAGAAGAAGAAGAAGAAGAAGAAGAAGAAGAAGAAGAAGAAGAAGAAGAAGAAGAAGAAGAAGAAGAAGCCAGTGGTAGCAAAGAGGCAGGCAGATCTTTGTGAGTTCAAGGCCAGTCTAGTCTATAGAGCTAGTTCCAGGACAGCCAGGACTACACAGAGAAACCCTGTCTTGAAAAACAAACAAACAAGCAAAAACCAAAATCAAAAGGAGAAAAAGGAAAGAGAAGACAGGAATGAAGAGTGTTGGAATTGGGGTTCAGTGTGCTGAACTCAGTGGCACTATGATCAGCCAGGGGCACACAGGGGGGCTGGCTGTGGCCTTTAACCACGACACTGTGACAACACAGGGAAGTTGTTTAGTTCAAAGAGGAAGCCTTGGGTGCTGGTGCAAAACTGGAGATCTAAGTTCGATCCCCAGAACCTCTCAAAGGTAGATGGAGAGAATCGATGCCACAAAGTTGTCTTCTGACCCCCCGAATATATGCCATGGCACATGCACACACTAAATAGATAAACAGATTCATAAAAACATATTTTTAAATTGTTAAGAGATGCTGGGAGTGTGAAAGAGGCAGCAGTGTATGTGTAAACTTGGGCATTTCTGTGTAGCATCCCTCTGTCCTGCAGCGGAGGGTGTCTGGGCTGGGACTCTGAGGATGCTTCTCAGGACCACCAGCAGAGGAGATCTCAGTCCTCTGCTTCCCATCATCTGTCACATGGGCTAGTGGCATCCTGAGGACAGAAGCCCAAGCAAACCATCATGGCTAACCTGTGAGCTGCTGCGGCGGAGCCAGGGACCCTGAGGGTGTCAGATTTTGAAGGAGAGGGTGGTCTCTCCGGTGAAGGGACCTTCTCCTCTGGGATGAGGGGCCGACTGTCAGCATCCGTGTCTTCTACCTGGAGCTCTGGGTGCTCTTTCGTGGCTGGTACTGGGAAGAGATAGGAGGGGACAGTCATGGAGAGAAGCCAGGTTTTGGGGCTGTGTTTGGAGGGTCTCTGGTGGCTTCTCCTCCCCAGTACGGTCCCCAGCCAAGCTCCATGCAACCTGAGGCCTTCTGCATGTCACTGCCACCCCAGCCCCCAACCCAGGAGCTGCAAATCTACCCTCTCAGTGTGGAAAGCAGCAGCAACTTGGGGAGGCTGGGACTAGTGTCACATAGACAGGCCCATTTGTTTTCCTCTCAAGGAAGGAGAAACCAAGCCTGTAGGGAGGGCAGGAGCCAAGGCTTTGTATTCTTGAAGGGACTCCATTCCGATGTATGTGCTGTCTTAGTCATGTGTTTACCTGGGAATTTGCTTTGGAGGGTATTAACATCTATACCAGGGGTCCCAGAAGTCACCTGCTGTCTATTTGGGCCACTGAAAAGCCTGGGCCTTATTCCTCAGAATCAGGTACCTCCTGGGGAGTCTGTGAATGCACCACCTTGGGGACTTAGGGGACACTGGAGGGCTAACTATACCTAGAAGGAAGTCTAAGAGGCAGTTGTCCACAAGCCTGTTACACAGCAAGACAGGGAAGATACTCTGAGATAACCGTCCCTGGGATGTTTCTGCTCGTGGCCACCATAGAAAGTCCAGTGCATAGCTTACAGTCACACAATGGGCAGAAAGGGGCCTCAGACCTGGGTGCTTGTTTTACTAAGTCATACAAAGCGCCCCCTCCTCCCAAAGGAGGACCAGCAAGAATGGGAAAGATTTTTAAACACTGAGGCATAGCATATCATTTGCTAGAATTCAGAAATCCTCAACCTGTGGGTCTAGACCCCACAGAGGTTACATATCAGATATTTACATTAGGACTCCTAGCTGGGTGGTGGTAGCACATGCCCTTTAATGCCAACACTCGGGAGGCAGAGGCAGGAGGATTTTTGTGAGTTCCAGGCCAGCCTGGTCTATAGAGAGAGTTCCAGGACAGGCTCTAAAGCTACAGAAAAACCCTGTCTCCCCGTTGGAGGGGGGATTCTTAACAGTAACTAAATTACAGTTGCGAAGTAGCAACAAAATACTTTTATGGTTGGGGGTCACTACAACATGAGGGACTGTACTAAAGTGTTGCAGCATTAGGAAGGTTGGGAACCAGTATGCTAGATTGACAAGAAATCCTCCACGCTCAGAGGAAGAGGAGAGGCCTCACCTACCGCCCACTGGTCCCTATGGGAGCCAAAGAGAAAGGACCCTAAAGGTTAGACCTGGGGGCCCCAGAGCTGACCCCAGCATGGCCTCAGCTTCCAGCCCAGGATGCACAGTAGTCTATCCTCAGCAAGTCTGACTGACCCAGGGAGCCAGGCAGGGAATGGCCTCTCCCCCTGCCTGCCCTAGGCAGGACTCCACACTGCCACCTCCCGGTGGAGAGGAGGAACAACCAGCTGGCACAGGGCAGCTCAGATGAAACAGGTTCATAGTGTAGTGGTCTAGACTGAAAAGACTAGACACAGAAGCATTAAAATGTCGAGAGAAGGGTTACTGCTGAGCACTGTCAATGCATTTACTCTCTCCCCTTTCTCTCCCCTTTATAAATTTTAAAAATAATATTTATTTTTTAAATTACATTTATTAAGCCAGGCTTTGTGGCACATGCCTTTAATCCCAGCATTTGGGAGGCAGAGGCAGGTGGATCTCTGAGTTCAAGGCCATCCTGGACTATAAAGCAAGTTCCAGGACAGCCAGGACTACACAGAGAAATTCTGTTTTGAAAAAAGTTACATTTATTTACTACATATAGTGTGTAAGTGCATGCCATAGTGTATGTGTGTGTGTGTGTGAGTGTGTGTGTGTGTCAGGAAAACTTGTAGGAATTGGTTCTCCCCTTCCATTTTGGGGATCAGTCACCAGACTTGGCAGCAAGCACCTTTACCTACTGAACCATCCTCCTGGCCAGCCTTCCTTCACCTCCCTCCCTTCTGGGGTTTCACTATGTTGTTGGCCTTGAATTCCCAATCTTGCCTCAGTCTCTGCAGTGCTGGTTTACAGGTGTATCCTGGAATTCACTTTGTAGACCAACCTGGTCTTGAACTCATGGAGATCACCTGCCTCTGCCTCCCAAGTGCTGGGATGAAAATCATGTGCTGCTAATGCTCGACTTCTGTTGGTTTTTAAATGTTAAGCATTTACATCTATTCCTTCCCCCCACCGTCCGCTTGCTGTGGTTTGAGCTGGCTGTGTATTCTGGGTTCAACCGATGCTCTGACCCCATCTTCCTGAGTGTCAGGGACTGTGGGTTCTCAGCTGTATGGCAGGGCCGGTTAACCTCGGCAGCTACTCTGTCGGGCAGTTGTTACGCTGTTTCCATCTTGTGCCTAAGGGAACTGTAGGTTAGGAAAGCTCAGTGCAGATACAGGCCCAGCTCAGAAGGGCTGAGGAATGACTAACCAATTGCCGGTTTTGCTGTTTCCTTTTGAGACAAGGTCTCTGTACCCCCAAATGCTGGGATTACAGATGTGCACCGCCACACCCAGGTCCGGAACTGCATTCTTGCTGCACTTCATTGTTCCTCTGTAGCCCCAAAATCCTCGTGTCATGCCCTTACTGTACCAGCCATGCCTGCCCGGGTGCTGATGAGATTATTTCCCAGTCGGAGTTCCCAGGACCCAGGGAGGACATAGAGGGTTCCAGACCCTCAGACCAGAAAGGGGGAGATGGAGAATGAGACCCTGACATCCCTGTCGCTCTCCTTCCATCTTGATTGCAGAGGGGACCATGGTCAATGCTTCTGTTGCCTTGGCACGGAGCAAGCCCCTCTGGGCTCCAAGCCTTTAGCCGGCTCTGTATCTCATGAGAAACTCACAGCTCCAGACTTGTCTGAGAGAATTTCCATCAGATTAGCCTGTGGGCATGTCTGGGAAATATTTCTTATTTGCTAATTGATATAGAAGAAATCTAGCTGAACAAGCCAAGGGGAACAAGCCAGTAAGCAGCATTCCTCCATGGTTTCTGCTCCAGGTTCCTGCCTTGAGAGACTATGTTGGCTTCTTTCAGTGATGAATTGTGAACCAGAAGTGTAAACAGGAATTAACCCTTTGCTTCCATGAGTTGCTTTTGCTCAGCATTTTATCACTGCAAACTTTTACATCTCCTGTGTATGGCAAGCCACTCCGGTTTTCCATTTGACTAGCCATTAAAAGTTTTCCTGTTTATGTCAAATTAGATAAAATAATCCAGCAAAAGAGGCAGAAACTGGGGATCCTGTGGAGCAGCAGAGTGAGCCTGGGTGTTGCCCCTCATTGCAGGGATGATCAGAGTACAAGCTCACCCCATTTGTGCCCATTGTGAGCCAGGATGAGGAGACAAGGGCAGCCAGGCCTTTTCTTATGGGGTGTCCTGTTCCTACCTGCTCTGATCTCGGGGACAGCCTGGCCCAATGTCTGCACAAACGTCTGCCACATCAAAGGGAGAGTGGGCAGACTGGCTTACACCAAGGCAGACCGGGACAGAAATTACCTCGGGGCACCTGTAGGACCCAAGCACTTTGCCATTAGTCAGTGAGCAGAACTAGCCCAATGACTAGTTTGGACAGGCCCTCAATCTGCACTGAACCCCAAGAATTCCTTCTCCCGGCCTGCCTGCACCTTCCCGCTTCTCCTTTCTACACCGCCTGCACCTGTCTGCTTCTCCTGTCTACACCACCTGCACCTGTCTGCACCTTCCCACTTCTCCTGTCTACACCGCCTGCACCTGTCTGCTTCTCCTGTCTACACCTGTCTGCTTCTCCTGTCTACACTGCCTGCACCTGTCTGCTTCTCCTGTCTACACCTGTCTGCTTCTCCTGTCTACACCGCCTGCACCTGTCTGCTTCTCCTGTCTACACCTGTCTGCTTCTCCTGTCTACACCTGTCTGCTTCTCCTGTCTACACCTGTCTGCTTCTCCTGTCTACACCGCCTGCACCTGTCTGCTTCTCCTGTCTACACCGCCTGCACCTGTCTGCTTCTCCTGTCTACACCGCCTGCACCTGCCTGCTTCCACTCTCCCTGAAACAGTGGCTACCAATGACCCTCAGAAAGCCCAGCAGACTGTCACAGTCAGGCAAGTCTACCTACAATGGAACTCACATCACCCCACCACCTGATTTCCCCCTTCCATGGCCTCTGTCCCTTCTTTTAAAAACACTTTTATTAATCCTTGACGATATCATACAATGTGTTTTGATCATATTCACCCCAACTCCTCCAGATCCAGCCCACCTTCTTACTCTCCCAGCCTCAAGTCCTTTATAGTAGCCCATCAATTCCAAGTTGTACCCCTCGTATAAACCCCTGGTTAGGAGGCCATCCTCTGCAGCATGGTTGACCTACCAGGAAGCAGATCTTTAAAGAGAATCGACCCCCCCCCAGAAGCTACTGACTGTCCACAGCACTTCCGTTAGGGGTAGGAGTGACTCCTACCTCTTTTTTTTGTTTTGTTTTGTTTTTGTTTGTTTGTTTGCTTTTGGTTTTTATGAGACAGGGTTTCTCTGTATTGTTTTGGAGGCTGTCGGTCCAGCCTAGCCTCGAACTCACAGAGATCTGCCTGCCTCTGCCTCCCGAGTGCTGGGATTAAAGGCATGCGCCACCACCGCCTGGCTGACCCCTACCTCTTTTACCAGCATTCTCCCCAAGTTTCATGCTCTAGGGAGGTGACACATTAAAAAAGAAGAGTGGGAATGAGTTCCTGCATAAAATGATGACATGCAGAAAGTATATGTAGTCAAAGAACTAAATTGCTAACTGTGAACTTTTAAGCATACGGAAAGAAAAGGACTAAACCCCTTCAGTCACTACAAAGCAGGAGGGAGGTCTTTAGAGGAAGGGGAATTCCAAGAGCACCACGCATGTTCCTGCAGCATGCCACACCAGCGAGAAGCCAGCCCAAGCCATGCAGAAACCGTACGCTGCCACATCTCAAGCATGCTGGGGCAAGATCACACTACCCAGGCGACGGATGGAGCTCCTGGTCTCCCTGGCAAAGCTGGAGTTGGACAAGGTTGTCCTCCGGGAAACGAGGACAGGAATGCGGGTGATTGTTGGACGATAGCTGGGCACATTGGGGAGTTGCTCGGCTGGGTTTGGGGGCCCAGGCCTGGGGCCCTCCTGGCCAGGTGGCTGGTCCTGAACCAAGCGATTCAGCTCCATATTCAGGCCTGGTTTAGCCATGGTGCTGGGTCGAGAGGGTGGCAGGCAGAGGTGTGACCCTGGGGACTGTAATCAGGAGCTGAGTTGAGGGAGATGGTACAGGTAGGGCTCCTGCCAGGCACCGGCATAGACCAGCTAATACTCGCCTGCTGCATCAGCCCTGCTCTTTTCTCCAACACTCAACCTTAAAGTATCACCAGGTGACCTCCTGGAGCCCTGGGACTGCTTATCAACCACAACAGTATTCCCCATGCCAAGTTCAAAAGACGCCAGACTCAGAATCCAGAGCGGAAAGACTTGGAACTTCAGAACCGAGGCTCCAATGTGCTGAGCTCAGAACGATTTTCCTCTTCAAAGAAACCCTGCAACCAATTCATCTTTCTTCCATTAGAAACAGACCCAGTGCTAGACCCTGGGGTCAGCGGGCTGCACGCTAGAATCCCTTGAAGAGGCTTACGTGGTCCTGATGCCCAGCCTTTCTCCAGCTGTCCAAGAAGTGGGGCTCACAGCTACTGCCTCAAATGCTAACATGAAGACAAATCAGCAGACAGTTAGGCAGGTAGCAGGCACATTCTGGCTTCGCAGGGCTTGGTAGGACCCGAATTCTGCATTTCTAACCAGTTTCCAGGGAAAGTGAGACTGTCAGCTTTTGAGTGCTACGTCCCTAGGCTATCTAGGGGAGGGGACCGAGCCAACTTGCTGTTTGTTCTAGTCTTCACATCTCCGTGGATGCCCAGGGTCCAGCCTGGACACCATAGGTTCCTACAGATGAGTGTTGATGTCAACAGAGACTTTTGAGTGACAGGCCGCACTGATTAAACCTGTGCGTGAGGTCCTAGCGCTGCTCCACTCTGCCCCACAGCAAGAAGGAGCCCAAAGTCAATGTAGTTTGTGCCTTCACTTTTTGCCTACCCTGCAACACACTATGTCTTAGCTTTGTTACCCATAAAACAATCTTTCGGCTTCATGAGGCAACTCAAGGACCAGCAGCTTGAAGAACACAACGTGGGTGTGGGTAAGAAATGCAGCCCTGCAGTCCAGGACATCATCTGTTCAGGGACAATGGCCCAGGCTCCTTCTTAGCACCCAATCCTTGGAGGTTGCCAGGTGTGATGGTTTGAATGACAATAGCCCCCATAGCTCGTGGGGAATGGCTCTAGGAGATGTGCCCCGTTGGAGGAAATGTGTCACTGGGGGTGGGCGGGGAGGTTTCAACTGCTCAAGCCAGGCCCAGTGTCTCTCTTCTCTTCCTGATGTCTGCCAATGCAGATGCAGAACATTCTCAGCAACCTTTTCTTTCTTTTGGTTTTCTGAGACAGGGGTTCTCTGTATTGTTTTGGGGCTGTCCTGGAACTCACTCTGTAGACCAGGCTGGCCTCGAAGGGTGGCAGAGGGGACCACAGTACAGAGCTGGGTACAGATGGAGCTCCCTACCCAGGACATGCTCAAAGAAGGGGGTGTGGCCATAGAGCTGGGACATCATTTACAGGCTCTGCCCCTCCACCCCCAGGTTCTCCACACAGGTTATGCCACATTTTTCCTGAGAGGAGGTGGCATGAGGGGTTGGCAGGGCAAGACTCCTTCAATGCTCTGGGCATCATTTCCTCATTATCTTTGAATGACATTATCTAGTTGAAATAATGGGGCCCTAAGACACAGAGGGGAGTCCTTGTCCAGGACAGAATGGAGGGGCCCTGGGTAGGAAGGAGACAGAGTTTGGAAGAGGGCCTCACTCCAAACTGCCACCATCCTGAAAGTCCCCAGGAGACCCTTGTACAATGTCACTCCTACCTGTAGAGCTGGTGGCCTCCTCCTCCTCCTCTACCTCCTCTTCTACCTCTTCCTCCTCTGGCAACTCCTGCAGAGACATGTAGAGAGGACGCGGGGTGCCTCATTGGACTTCCCCCAACTCTTACCCCACCCAGTACCAACTGGGGCAGCTCATCTCCTGGGCCTTCCAAGGAGGTGGCTTACCACCTGTAGAGGGCAGTGTGCATTTAAGTTCCTATTATCTCATGTACCCAGAGGACCCCCATGAGGCCCTTGTTAAGGGGACAAAGCTACCCAAACAGCCATTCCTAGAATCCAGGACCACACCTCCCCCTGGACAACAGCCCCTGAAGGTCCCCCTACAATCAGCCTTCTCTGTCGTATGGACAGCTCACCAGCAAACCCCACTGCCATCCCATCATCAATGGCCCATTCCCTGGGCTTGGGACTCTACCTGGAGCGATGCTATCTGTGGCTCTGTCCTGCCTAACTGGCACTGGTCCACATCAGCCTGCACCGCCAAACAGCTATCCAGCAGGACACTGAACCAAGAGACAGAAGAAAGAGCCAGTGTTAGTGGAGGTTGGCGTGGCCAAAGCTGACCAGAAACAGGGGACATAGAGATGTCAGAGGCTAGATCACATCCACACTGACAAGCTACTGTCTGAGACAAGGGACTGCAGTAAAGGCCACAGTTATACAAGGAAAGAGGGCTTCCCCAAGGAAGTGGCTTATGCACAGGGTCTCAAGGATGATGGGAAAGGATCGGTCTAAAGACACCATAGGGGACGTTCAGAGAAGCATCTATGGGATGGAGCCCGTTCAGAATATATACCACGGGTTTCCCCAAGTCTGAAGGAAACCTTGGCGGCTGCAGGTAAGGAAAGGTATGGAAGAAAAGCAAGAGCTGGTGTGTAGCTCAGTGGCAGAGCACTTGCCCAGTGAGTGAAAGGCCCCGGGTTCCATCCCCAGTGTGGGGGTGGATGGACAGACATGAAGTGACCTGACCAAAATCACAAACCTTAACCCAAGATTGTTTCTTCCCCATGAGTTCAGCGCCAACAGTGCCATGCTGAAGGCTCCTGACATCACTGTCCCAGAAGGCAAGTATATATGGGCCACAGGGTCTGGGGTGGTGGAGGCCCTGGGAGGGGCAGGGAGGAGACTGTGGCAAACAGAAGGGGGCCCCACTCTGTTTGGAATAAGGGATCAAGAGTATCAGATCTCCTCGTTTTCCAGGAATCTGAACCAGAGTTTTCAGGTAGAATGTCCTGACATTGGATGCTGTGTAAGAATGCATCTATTCAGAAGAGCAATCCCAGGGCTCAGGAGGTCAAGGCAGGAGGATTAGAAGTTCAAGAGCAGAGCTGGAGAAATACTCAGGAGTTGAGAGCACTGACTGCTCTTCCAGAGGACATGGATTCAATTCCCAGAAACCACATGGCAGTTCACAACTGTCTCTATCTCTAGGATCCAACACCCTCACATAGACAGACATATAGGCAAAAGGGGCTAAGATGATGTGAGTGCACATCTGTCTGTCTGTCTGTCTGTCTGTCTGTCTGTATCTTTGTGTGTGTGTGTGTATGTCTGTGTGTGTGTGTGTCTGTGTGTCTGTGTGTCTTTGTGTGTGTTTGAACCGGGCCTATGTTGTCCAGGCTAGCCTAGAACTTGCCATGTATTGCAGGCTGGCCTAGAACTTGTGATCGTCCTGGTGTTGGAATTCCGAGCATGTATATCCAAGCCCAGATTCTAATGTGATTTTTGTAGTTTGAACTAGGTCCTACTTCCTGACAGCCCTACCTCCCCATCAGAGCCCTGAGCATTCGCAGATGTCCCAAGGTGTCATATCTACCCAAAGGGCCATGTCTCAGTTCTCCCAAGGTGGGTAAGCAGGGGCTGAGACAGGATGTCAAGGAGTCTGTATCAGTCTCCGGCCGGGGTTTATGAATGAGCTTGTAATCACATGGTCATGGCAGCCGGGCCCGTGCCAAGCTCCTGCAACATTGTCCATCTCCCTGCTTCTTTACCCAAACACCCCTGCCAGGGTTGTGGTGAGAGCACTCTAGCTTAGAAAACACAGAGGCCCACAGACAGCCTGTGGTCATGCAGTCTCTGCAAGGTGAGTCTAGTGCAGAGCTCACGCCACTGTCCTGCTGCCACCCTGAGTGTGTGTCCACACTGTGTGATCATTAGCCTTCCTGGGTCTCTGCACCCCCAAAAATACGTTAGAATTACCTCCTGGTGGCACTGGGTAAAGAACAATATTAGTTTATATCTCGCAATGTTTTCTTAAATCTAAAAGTTCTTCTTTGGCTCTGTTTTAAAAAGATCAAAAGTTTCTTCGGTTGGAGAGCTTGCCTAACATTCGTGAGGCCTTGGGTTCAGTCTAACATTCTAATATTCTCTTGGACCCCTGACATGTTTTGGTGCTATGCCTCCCGCCACAAGCAGAAGTTGGCCTCATGCAGATGGGCCATGCTGCGCTGAGGGCCTTGAATGGATTCTCCTGGAAACAGCTGTAAGGCTCTATCTACGGCCCCCAGCACTAGCCAGAGGCCTCCTTGTCCAGATCCTTCTAGTGGCCGGTCTCTGTGGCCTTGGGAAAACCACCTTGCCTGGACCCACGAGCCTGTCTCTTCTATTCCTGTGTCAAAAAGTCAGGGCCCTGCATGGGCTGTCTGTGGTCACAGGTCAGGGAGCCTGAAATGGGAAAGCCAGAAGGATGTCAGGTGCTATCTCAGGATTCTTCTGGATTCTTCTCTTAAACACAGTGAGATGCTGGCGCTTTATCTGCATTTCACTTTGGAAGAGCCAGACCCTGCCTTGCACTTCCTGGCCAAGAACACAGCTCTGAACCTCAGTGTCCCTGTCTGGGAAGTGGGCTCAGTAACGTACCTGTCATTCCCGCTGACTCTACAGTGTCTAGCAGCTCTCATTATTACTGCTGGTATCCTTACAGCTAATCCCAGAGGATTTGCTGGGTTAGGACATCACACACATACTTCAATAAACAACCTCAGCAGCCGGGTGGTGGTGGCACACTCCCTTAATCCCAGCACTTGGAGGCAGAGGCAGGTGGATCTCTGTGAGTTCGAGGCCAGGCTGGACCGACAGCCTCCAAAACAATACAGAGAAACCCTGTTTCGTAAAACCAAAAAAATAAAAAATAAACAACCTCAGCTCACAAGGCAATTTACTAGCACAGCGGTGGCCCTGCACACATTATCAAGGGCTGCAGAGGGTCCATGTACCAAAGCCATGTTGTTCT